TAGGTAGGGTTGGTTAGGTTCGGTCATATATCTACGTTAATTTTAACTCCAATAAAAAAAATTGACCTCATACATAATGAAATGGGTAGCTTTATCATTTCAAAAGAAAAAAATTAGAGAAAATATAATAATTCAGGAAAACTTGGCTTATTAGGCAAGTCGGGCCTTGCATAGTAAGCCGAGAAGTGCGTTCTGGCTACTAGGTACGACATATATATATATATATATATATATATATATATATATATATATATATATATATATATATATATATATATATATATATATATATGTCGTACCTAATAGCCAGAACGCACTTCTCAGCCTACTATTCAAGGCCCGATTTGCCTAATAAGCCAAGTTTTCATGAATTAATGTTTTTTCGTCTACCTAACCTACCTAACCTAACCTAACCTAGCTTTTTTTGGCTACCTAACCTAACCTTACCTATAAATATAGGTTAGGTTAGGTTAGGTAGGGTTGGTTAGGTTCGGTCATATATCTACGTTAATTTTAACTCCAATAAAAAAAATTGACCTTATACATAGAGAAAAGGGTTGCTTTATCATTTCATAAGAAAAAATTATAGTAAATATATTAATTCAGGAAAACTTGGCTTATTAGGCAAATCGGGCCTTGAATAGTAGGCTGAGAAGTGAGTTCTGGCTACTAGGTACGACATATATATATATATATATATATATATATATATATATATATATATATATATATATATATATATATATATATATATATATATATATATGTCGTACCTAGTAGCCAGAACGCACTTCTCAGCCTACTATGCAAGGCCCGATTTGCCTAATATGCCAAGTTTTCCTGAATTAATATATTTTCTCTAATTTTTTTTCTTATGAAATGATAAAGCTTCCCATTTCCTAATGTATGAAGTCAATTTTTTTTATTGGAGTTAAAATTAACGTAGATATATGACAGAACCTAACCAACCCTACCTAACCTAACCTAACCTATCTTTATAGGTTAGGTTAGGTTAGGTAGCCGAAAAAGTTAGTTTATGTTAGGTTAGGAGGTTAGGTACTCGAAAAAACATTATTTCATGAAAACGTGGCTTATTAGGCAAATCGGGCCTTGCATAGTAGGCTGAGAAGTGCGTTCTGGCTACTAGGTACGACATATATATATATATATATATATATATATATATATATATATATATATGTCGTACCTAGTAGCCAGAACGCACTTCTCAGCCTACTATGCAAGGCCCGATTTGCCTAATAAGCCAAGTTTTCCTGAATTAATATATTTTCTCTAATTTTTTTCTTATGAAATGATAAAGCTACCCATTTCCATATGTATGAGGTCAATTTTATTTTATTGGAGTTAAAATTAACGTAGATATATGACCGAACCTAACCAACCCTACCTAACCTAACCTAACCTATCTCTATAGGTTAGGTTGGGTTAGGTAGCCGAAAAAGTTAGGTTAGGTTAGGTTAGGTAGGTTAGGTAGTCGAAAAATAATTAATTCATGAAAACTTGGCTTACTAGGCAAATCGGGCCGTGCATAGTAGGCTGAGAATTGCGTTCTGGCTACTAGGTACGACATATATATATATATATATATATATATATATATATATATATATATATATATGTCGTACCTAGTAGCCAGAACTCACTTTTTGGCCTACTATTCAAGGCCCGATTTGCCTAATAAGCCAAGTATTCATGAATTAATTGTTTTTCGACTACCTAACCTACCTAACCTAACCTAACCTAACTTTTTCGGCTACCTAACCAAACCTAACCTATAAAGATAGGTTAGGTTAGGTTAGGTAGGGTTGGTTAGGTTCGGTCATATATCTACGTTAATTTTAACTCCAATAAAAAAAATTGACCTCATACATAATGAAATGGGTAGCTTTATCATTTCATAAGAAAAAAATTAGAAAAAATATATTAATTCAGGAAAACTTGGCTTATTAGGCAAATCGGGCCTTGAATAGTAGGCCAAAAAGTGAGTTCTGGCTACTAGGTACGACATATATATATATATATATATATATATATATATATATATATATATATATATGTCGTACCTAGTAGCCAGAACTCACTTCTCAGCCTACTATTCATGGCCCGATTTGCCTAATAAGCCAAGTTTTCCTGAATTAATATATTTACTATAATTTTTGTATGATGAAATGATAAAGCTACCCTTTTCTCTATGTATGAGGTCAATTTTTTTTTATTGGAGTTAAAATTAACGTAGATATATGACCGAACCTAACCAACCCTACCTAACCTAACCTAACCTATATTTATAGGTAAGGTTAGGTTAGGTAGCCAAAAAAAGCTAGGTTAGGTTAGGTTAGGTAGGTTAGGTAGACGAAAAAACATTAATTCATGAAAACTTGGCTTATTAGGCAAATCGGGCCTTGAATAGTAGGCTGAGAAGTGCGTTCTGGCTATTAGGTACGACATATATATATATATATATATATATATATATACAGACTTAGCCGCCATGGTCGCGATGAGAGGTATATATATATATATATCGTGACTCAAAAGTGCCTGATGAATCTTGATTCGGGGGAGTATAGGGGCCAGAGTATAACTCACAAGTCATTTATCAGTGTGGTTAGAGAATACTAACCTTCATCGGAGTCCGCTACCTGTTGGGGAAGTGGTTCTGCACCCCAGCGTCGACTCCACCTTGTGGGGCCTCCAGCAGCCTCGCCTCCAGCAGCCTCGCCTCCCGCGTCGACTGTTTTGCTCCATCCTCATATACTAAAAAACAATAATAATGCAGGAATACCGTGATGGCTTGCATCTACATTGATCTTGATTGGTTGATCTTAACAGTGATACAGCAGTTACATTATCTCGATTAATATCAGGTGGTGACTGACAAGGAAAACAATGAACAAAGATGCTTCATTGCAAGTACTGTAGTTTCAAATGTAATTAATCAGTGCGCATTTTAAGAAAAAAAAATGGTGCCCAAGAGCAACTGTCAAGCTCCTCGGCTGCTGCCTTTGGTACTTATGCTGTTACACTTGTTCCAAGCTGTTGTTGTTCCAAGTTGCTGTTGTTCCAGGCTGATGTTGTTTCAAGCTGCTGGCACCGCTGCTGTTTCTTTTATAGGGAGTTGTTGTTTGATGATGCTACTGCTCTTTCTGTGTTAAAGTGGTTGTTGTTACTACTGCTGTTGTTGTCAGTAATGGCTGATGGCACTACGCCCGTGGTCAGTAACGTTTCTTTTTAGGCGAAACAGTTCCATTTTTAGAAGGTCAACTCAAGAGAAGAGGCTTCATATAATGTCAATGGAGCCAGGAAGGCGTAAGCACCATACTATTTTCATTTCTTTTCTTTATTATGCACCCCATACCCATCCCGTGGGCGGTGGTGTAAAGGTTCATACCGCAGGTCACTTTTTACAACACCTAGCTCGGGGGAGGACGGAACCCTGGCCTTGAGAAGAACCTGCCTGAAGCATGGAGGTCATTATACTATGGCAGTATCTCCACTTGTACAAAACTCACTAGTGATTGACATCGTCAGCAGCACCTGTCGAGGTCCTTGACCTTTGTAACCCGAAGGCGAAGTTACTATACCTTGAGATCATTTCGGGGCTTAGCGTCCCCGCGGCCCGGTCTTCAATCAAGCCTCCTCGTTACTGGACTGGTCAACAAGACTGTTGGACGCGGCTGCTCGCAGCCTGACGTATGAGTCACAGCCAGGTTGATCAGGTATCCTTTGGAGGTGCTCATCAAGTTCTCTCTTGAACACTGTGAGGGGTCGGCCAGTTATTCCCCTTATGTGTATTGGAAGCATGTTGAATAGTCTCTGGCCTCTGATGTTGACAGTTCTCTCTCAGAGTACCTATTGCACCTCTGCTTTTCAACGGGGGTATTCTATACATCCTGCCATGCAGGCAGAGTTCCTTACACAGGACTTGTTTGAGAGATCACTGGTGAACATCACACCGATGCAGGGAGGAAATCAAACGAGTGGCGAACATCACCCCTTTCGAAGGCTGGGCCGCATAACGGGCTGGTTGGCTGGGTATAATCGGGTTGGAGGGAGGGCCAGCGGTTAGGGTCAAAACACCATAATTCAGTAGTGGCATACGTAGATTACTGGCCGCAGCACACCACTACATTATGGTTGAAAGTGCATGGTTCAATTATTGTAAAATAATTAAAATATCACACACACACACACATATTGGGACATTAGCAGGAAGGCTTACAAGTAGCTAGAACAACCAGTGATTTGAGAGTCTCTTTGTCTCCTGTCTTTTCTGGCCATAGGGCAGGAGACAGCCTAAAGAGTTTTCCAGTCTTCAAATTACAGTATTTATAGTAATTATATTTTGCAACAATTCAAATTAAATACTGCATATTCACTGGTTTTAAGTATTAGCCTAAGATTTATATTACATAAGATGCAACCACTCAGCATATACAATTTAAACAACAATCCCCCAATCATTTTAATTTTTAGACAAGCCCGAAAAGCAATGAATATCAGCCTAATATACCAAAACGCGCTTCGTAATTTATATATCCATTAATTGAATCTTCTTCAATTGAATCTTGCAAATAAAATATTTGTATAATAATAATAATAATAATAATATTAATAATAATAATAATAATAATAATAATAATTCTTCTTATTATTATTATTGAATTAATAAAATGGGGGAGCCAAAATGGTTCTGATGTGGCCAAATGTGGATAATGATGGCTGCCTGTGGGCGCCTCTGGGGAAGTCCTTCAAAGCCCCAAATTTTACTCTTCAGTTACGCGCTAACAAAAGAGTAGAAATATTTCAGTAAGAAACGTATTTTCAGTATTATTATTTTCAGAAACAGTATTATAATTATTAGGATTTGGTTATTGTTTTAGGTTATTATGTTTAATAGGCTTTCAGCATAAAAGTTGTATATAAAACTATTATTGTTATCATACGTAGAAGTTTAAAAAATATATATATTACATATTCAGATAGACAAAGTTAACTTATTTGTGTGATTTTTTGTTGTTGACATGGGTGGCCATGCTGTGCGCGCATACGCGTGATTTTGCGCATGCGCGTGGGGAGATTTTGCGCATGCGCAGTGGTGCTGGTAGTGCCGGGCGAGGTCAGAGGGGCGGCGTGCCAGCAGTAGGCAGCGAGCATCATGCAGGGGCTGTGGCTGTGTCTCCTGGTCGCCTTCCCCTCCGTCACTTGCCAGAAATATGTAGGTAAGGTTCAGTAAGCTCTTAGGAAGTTGCTCTCGTGTCTGTAGGCTAACTCTCCCCCACCGAAATATCAAAACACTTGTCAGTTACACGAATGTAAAGACATGGAAGCATTCAGATTTGAAGCTGAGAGCTGGGATTTATTTTATTTGGGGGAAGAAGGGTGTTCATTTTGACTAGGATAGGGTGACCACGTAGATTTAAAGCCTAGCGATGAGACTGTGTAGCCTTCAGGTGAGTTTTGATGACCCCTGCTTATGTGATTACCTACTTTGATATCTTTTTTACAGGCTTTTGATAAAAATCGATATAATATTGGAGGCATCTAGTGACCTATAATGTCTGGTCAACTCAAGTGATATCTTGCGATCTTTCATGACCTCTTTCAATCTCTTAATAACATCTGATGGTACCTATTTGTTACCTTTAAAGAATATTACCTCGGCAACCGCAGTTTGTCTCCTAATGACCCCATGTTTTCCTTGTGGGCGTCCCTGCAGGCGAGGTGCTGGTGTCGCGGGCGGTGGTGGAGAGGGCGGCCACAAGGTTCCTGAGGGAACGAGACCAACTGTTCTCCCATCAGTGTACCAGGACCATCACCGCCTCCTGGAACTACCACACCAACCGCACCCTCTACAACAAGCTCCGCCTGGTACGTGACCATTGGGGAGGAGAGTATAAGGTGCTCACTTATCTCCTGCCATTATTGACCAGATCACACACTAGAAAGTGAAGGGACGACGACGTTTCGGTCCGTCCTGGACCATTCTCAAGTCGATTTCGGTCCAGGACGGACCGAAACGTCGTCGTCCCTTCACTTTCTAGTGTGTGGTCTGTGCCTCAAGTTAGTCTCCTCCTATTTATGAGGTTCACCTGCCTAAACCTTTCATAATACTGTAGCCTAATCCTCACAAACTTTGCGACGAGCCTAGTCCCAAATAACTGGAATATCTCGTTTAGTTTTATTTGTCATTAGGTTGCAGTTCCTCGCTATAGGGCAACATACTCCAGAATGATCCTCACATATGTCGTGTAGAATGGTCCAAGCTTAGTATACTTCTTCAGTGTGCACCTTATGCTTGAGTGTTCTGCTAACACACTGTATATGGAAATATTATTATTATTATTGTTATTATTATTATTATTATTATTATTATTATTATTATTATTATTATTATTATTATTATTATTATTATTATTATTATTATTATTATTATTATTATTATGCCGTTCAGTGTTATACTTATTTAGGATTTTGTTATTATTTTAGGTTATTATGTTTAATAGGCTTTCAGCATAAAAGTTGTATATTTAACTATTGTTATACGTAGGAAACTATCCAAAATCACTCTTCCTGCCATTCACGCTCGCCTCCCTCCACCCTCCTGCAGCTGGCGGCGCAGGAGGACTACCGGGTGCTGCAGAAGGACTCGTGGATGCTGGTGCAGAGATGGAAAGCGGTGGACAACTTCCTGGAGGACCCTTCCATCAAACACCAACTGCAGGCCATGTCTGTCCTCAGCCCCGCTGCCCTCTCCACCCCCTACCTGGCCACGGTGAGGAGCAGGGGGAGGGGAGGAGGGGCCCTTAAGGGTCCTGAGTGAGGGATGAGGGAAGGGGTCTAGTGTGAGGGATGAGGGAGGGGGTCTAGTGTGAGGGGAGGGGGGTCCAGTGTGAGGGATGAAGGAGGCTCAAGGATGAGAGATTAAGACTAAAATTAGCAGCGATTAAACGAATACAAAAAAGTAGAATAATAAATATAGATTTTCTACTCCTGAAATCACACGCAGAGTGGTGGTTTTAAGTGCTGCTCTGAGGTAATGTATCTGTAAATATTTCAGTACATGAGAACTGTGGAGGCGATGAAGGGCATCTACTCCAGCGCCTCCGTCTGCGACTACCACAACACCCAGCAGTGTGGCCTTACACCCGAGGAAGGTAGGTAGTTGGGTACTGGAGTAGGTGCAACTCCCAACCTGCAGACGTCATTATTACCCATCACTCTACAACTAATTTGGTTCTCTACCACTAGTTAGGCACGCCACCACTAGCTAAGTCACCACCATCACCACTATCTAGGCTCACCACCATCCCCAGCTGACCAAGTGTCTCGTCGGCCACAGGAGTAAATGAGATCATGCAGCGTAGCAGAGACGTAAAGGAGCTGGCTTACATCTGGAAGTCGTGGAGGCTTCAGACTCGAGGAATACGCAGCTCCTACGCCCTATACGTCGACCTGGCTAACCTGGCTGCCCAGACCAACCGTGAGTACCCCTGCTTGGTGAGGTGTCCGAGGCCCTTAGGTGACTGGCAGTATCACGTTCGTTACAGTGACTGATAGTGACTGGTGAGTTATGGTGACTATGAAGCTTTGTGAGATAAGTTGAATATTAATGTCTGAGTTAGTGGTAGAAAGTTATGGTGATTATTTCTGGTAACCGAAAGCGTAATACCTTAGCAGAGGCTACGACATCCTAGCTGTGGCTAGGATACGTTGTCCCAGGTCAGGTCAGGTAGAGTGTGACCCAGGAGAGTGCCGTCCCCACAGGGCTCGCCAACAAAGGGGAGCTGGAGCTGGTGGAGTATGGGGGCGGAGCCTTTAAAGAGCAGATGCAAAAGGCCTGGGAGCAGCTGCAGCCGCTCTACCTCCAGCTGCATGCCTACACCAGGAGGAAACTCCGGCAGGTGTGTGTTTACTGGTCATATGTTTTATGAAGACAAAAACTACATAGAAATATCATATAAAAATGTAGATTGTTTTATTATAAAAAAGTACGCCTTCTACGATTATTTGTTATTCTAGTGAGTATAATATTGAACAACTTAAGTGTTAGATACTTTTTCTAACAGTAGAACTAAATCGACCACGTTAGAAAAGTTACGAGTTTCTATAGAAAGATTATTTGTTTTACACTAACCTCCTGTGGTGGCGTGGCCTGTGCCTAACCTGTGACCTGTGTGGTGGTGTGCAGGTGTACGGGCCACAGGTGGTGACGGAGCGAGGGCCCTTACCTGCGCACCTGCTGGGGGACCTGTGGGGACACCAGTGGAAGATCTGGGACATCCTCGTTCCCTACCCTGGCAAGACCCGCCCCAGTGCCACCTTCGAGATGAAGAGGCAGGTGTGTATATGTGCGTAATTACCGTAGTAGTAGTAGTATTTACCTACGTAATTATGGTAGTAGTATTACCTAAATGTAGCTACAGTTGGTGCTACATAGTTTTCCCGGTTTGGAGCCTACTAATGCTAATTACTTACAGGATTTACAGGATGCGAGGCGAGCTACGCTGGTGGTATCCCGTTTTCTCGATACTATTTGTCATATGACGTCGTTTTGAATCGGAAGTTCATTTCGTAATATATATCACTCTCATTTCAATTATTCCATCCAGCTTTGTAAAAAGAATGTTTAAGCATGTTTAGGGTACCTTTATGTGAGTGTGTGTACCTTTTAAAGTCTCACTTCAAAAGTCCTTGCAGGGTTGAACTATAGTTCCTGAGCACAGTTTTAAGAGCTAGGGATTGTCTAATGCAATGTGTGCTCATGGGGTTGTGTGATCACTACACGTGTATTTACACAGACGTGTGTGTGTGTGCAGGTGGTTATAGTGTGCTAAAAACCATTATAAACACAAATGATAGCAACTAAATCAAATCAAGGGTATCTGAGACGCTTGTGATTGATTGAGTGATACAGATTCAGTCACCCCAGAGGTGGCACGGGCATGAATAGCCCGTAATTAAGATGCTTGTGTGAAGGCGCACTCTTATCTCCCCTCCCCTCTTCCCTCCTTGCCTGGTGATGGAGGACCCGCACAGTGGTACAACCCCAGGAAGATGTTTCAGGTCGCAGACGACTTCTTCGCCTCACTGGGCCTGCCGCGCCTGCCGCCCTCCTTCTGGCACGACTCCCTCCTCCAGAAGCCTCTCCACAGGAACGTCATCTGCCACGCCTCCGCCTGGGATTTCTGCAACGGCAAAGACTTCAGGTACACTCATTAGCTTATAAACTCTCACGTACATACGTAGTCAACTATGGGCTCACCATAGCCCGTGCTACTTGGAACTTTTTGTTCCAAGTAGCGAATCTTAAACAACAACAACATACGTAGGCGCGATGGGGCCATTGTTAGATGTTTACAGTAGATGTTAATGATCCCACGAATTCTCTTTATAAATATTTCAACAACATTAAAATCAAATAAAACAATGCAAGAGAGATGTAATTTTTCTGACATTATTTTTTCCCCCTAAGCAACAGCAGTAACAACATATTAATATAGAGTGATGCTGCAGGATCAGTCAGTGCACAGAGGTGAGGGAGGAAGACCTGGCCTCCACCCACCACGAGACAACCCACCTCCAGTACTTCCTCCACTACCGCCACCAACCCTACGTCTACCGCCAGGGGGCCAACCCAGGTAACTCCTCACTCCACGCCCATACTCAGGCCTTTTTAAGGGGTTCGTTAGTAGCCTTGGTTATGCAGGCGAGGAGTCACAATAACGTGGCTAAAGTAAGTTGACCAGACCACACACTAGAAGGTGAAGGGACGACGACGTTTCGGTTCGTCCTGGACCATTCTCAAGTCTATTGTGACACATAGTCTTGGTTATGTGTCTTGGTGTTGAGAGTTACAATTAACGCAGGGAACTACTGGATCACCACCAGTCAACAAAGCAAGCAACCTCTGAGAGCCAGGTAACTCATTTCAGGTATCCTTGTTTATTGATGTTCTCTTAATCGGCCTGGCAAAGTCTTAAGCTTCAACTTAATATTGATCTAAACAATTATTGATTTTTTTTATTAAATGCGTATTAGGCAACGAGACAAAACCCTTTAAAAACTATATTTCGTGAATATATTCTAAGTATCTGTTGTTGCCTCATAATGGTCAAAATGTTGAATGTTTTCATTACGTTAGTACAGTTGACACTGTTGGATATGTCGATCTTTACGGAGAATATTATACTAACGGATGCGCGAAGGCATGTGTGGACGTCACTATAATCCAGGTGTGGCCGTTACCATAATCCAGTTGTAGCTATCTACTAAATACAGGTGTATTCCAGGTAGGGACGTCAGTGGCTGCAAATGTGCTATCATGTGTATGAATATTAACTTGCAATTGTTTCCTTGACGGAGGCATTCCTCAGCTGCAATTCTCCCCACGATGAAGGTTTTCTGGTCCCTAAACCTTGTGGCCACCGCCTTTTCTCCCATCCACCAGGGCGAATTGTACGATATTTCTTACCCCATAATTTCCGTGCAGGTTTCCAGGAGGCGCTAGGCAACGCGGTGCAGATGAGTGTCTCTACGACACAGCATCTCCAGAAACTGAGGCTCCTGAGGACGCTGAAGGATGACCCGGAGGTTGACATCAACTTCCTTCTGCAGGAAGCCACCGATAAACTTGCTTTCATGCCCTACGCTTATCTGATGGATCAGTGGCGATGGCGGGTCTTTGACGGCACCTACAAGGAGAGGGACTGGAACTGTGCCTGGTGGGACCTGAGGTGAGGTGCTGCAGGTGGGACCTGAGGTGAGGTGCTGCATGTGGGACCTGAGGTGAGGTGCTGCAGGTGGGACCTGAGGTGAGGCGCTGCAGGTGGGACCTGAGGTGAGGCGCTGCAGGTGGGACCTGAGGTGAGGTGCTGCAGGTGGGACCTGAGGTGAGGTGCTGCAGGTGGGACCTGAGGTGAGGTGCTGCAGGTGGGACCTGAGGTGAGGCGCTGACCTGAGGTGAGGCGCTATAGGTGGGACCTGAGGTGAGGTGCTGCAGGTGGGACCTGAGGTGAGGCGCTACAGGTGGGACCTGAGGTGAGGCTACAGGTGGGACCTGCTGCAGGTGGGACCTGAGGTGAGGCGCTGAGGTAACGCGCTACCTGAGGTGAGGACCTGAGGTGAGGCACGGTGAGGTGCTACAGGTGAGGTGCTACAGGTGGGACCTGAGGTGAATGGGACCTGAGGTGAGGTGCTGCAGGTGGGACCTGAGGTGAGGTGCTGCAGGTGGGACCTGAGGTGAGGTTCTGCAGGTGTGAGGTGAGTGAGTAATGTCCACATTAGCAGGTGAGTGACTCACCACATTACCAGCGCTAAACACGCCACATTTCGGTTCTCTTGTTATATTCTTAGTTTACCCAATTTTCTTACAATATACAATTCAGTTTTATTTTGAAAATTTAGTGAAATTATTATGCATTTTTAAATTTATTTTACTCTATAATTTAGTGAATTTAAACAAAATAACTATGTATTGCAAATGCATTATTTGCTGGCCCAAATGTAGTTACATATTTACAGCCGTGTTGTAGCCTGTAGCCTCTCTGTAGCCCTAGTGCAGAAGTTAAGCGTATAATATAATGCCTGTTCTAAATCTCGTCTGTACTTCTTGGTGGGGCTTCTCTAGTATGATCCGTTATGGTGTCTTCTGCAGATATAGCGTTCAGGGCGTGAAGCCTCCAGAGCTCCGCAGCGAGGACGACTTCGACCCAGCAGCCAAGTACCAGGTGGGCGCCGACCTCTCCTTCACCAGGTGGGTCTCAAATGCAAGGTGGGCCTTAGGGGTCTTCTTCACCAGGTGGGTCTCAAATATCAGGTGGGCCTCAGAGGGTCTCCTACACCAGGTGGGTCTCAAATACCAGGTGGGCCTTAGAGGGTCTCCTACACCAGGTGGGTCTCAAATACCAGGTGGGCCTCAGAGGGTCTCCTACACCAGGTGGGTCTTAAATACCAGGTGGGCCTTAGGGGTCTCCTACACCTGGTGGGTTTCAGGACCTCATACACGCTTTAAAATACTCACATCGCTAAACTTCATGATGTTTTAATCCTTCGTCCCAATATATCTGATGGCCTAGAGAAATATTCCCTTGCACGTGGGAATCTGTTTCTCGCAACTTACCCTTCTAAAATTATAATACTTATTGTAACTATTTGGTAGAAAGTACCGAACTGTAGTGATGGACCAACAAAAGGTTGACGTTTTGTATTACTGATGTTGGCCAAATGAAAAGCTGTTAAACAGCAACATAAAAATAGAACCTAGTTTAACCTCTCCTATCAATCATATGCTTAATACACGCTATCTTAGGCTTAATAATAGTATATATATGTGTGCTATACTAGGCCTAAGAATGTTTGGGATTGATTTTTAGTTTGATATTTCCGGACTATAACGTTAATAGTATAAAAAGTAAACTTTTTTTGGTGGTCCGACCTATTGATACTCTCGACTAAATAGTTACTATAAGTACTGTCATTTCAGGAGGATAGGTTGATTTCTCCCGCCTCAGACGAACGGTGCTCCTAATATATTTATGTTTTAGAGCAAGTGAATATATAGTGGAATTTTGTTGTTGATTAGCGAGTCACAAGGGTATTAAATAGGGGTATAATGTGTATTGCAGGTATTTTGTTGGCATCGTGCTGCAGTTTCAGTTCTACAAGGCTCTGTGCATCAAGGCAGGAGAATACGATCCGCTCTACCCTTCCAAGCCGCTCCACAAGTGCGACTTCTATCAGTCGAAGGAGGCTGGCAGCGCAATGCGGTATGTTTGTGACAGTTTCCTAGGAGTAGATGAAGCCTTGTTAGGCTCTCTTAGTAATAGATAACTTGGGAGAACACTCAAAAAGTGGCCATAATGCTAAAACTACATGAGCTTGGTTAGGGATCCTGAAGTGCCGCATCAGGGCGTGCAGCACCACCATTACTTTGTATTCTTTTGGCAGCAAATGCATTGATTCCACAGGGCGATGATGCAGCTGGGGAAGTCGAGGCCGTGGCCAGAGGCGCTGGAGGCGTTGACGGGCCAGAGGGAGATAGACGCCTCCGCCATGAGAGACTACTTCAGGCCCCTGGAAGAGTGGCTGAAGCAGGACAATCAGCGCCATGAAGAGTTCGTTGGTTGGAGGGCAGGTTAGCAGTACAATCCATGCTTCATTCCAGCATCCCTTGCTTATTAAAGTATTCAAAGCACACCAGGTGCTTCTGGGAAATTTAACATTTGCTTTAGCGACCAAATTATGCATGGATATTCCTATATACTAACGTGACGGTGAAAATATCTTTGAAGCCGTCTGTGGACTCGAGCTTGCGTCCTGGCCCATCCCAGTTCCATTCCACACACGGCTTCAAAGGTTTTCTCAAACATATATCACATTACTGCGATTTCATTGTGTACAAACTTGTCTCTGTTGATCATTTTAACGTTCTAGATCACCTGTCTTAAAATGTTGTAAGAAATGTTAAACCTCGTGTGGATTAAGGGTGAGGAAGAACCAGGCAGTAACAGGGTGGTGTTTCTCTCTCTCTCTCTCCCAGACAACCAGTACTGCTTGTATCAGAAGTCCAGCTGGTCGCCCTTCGCTGTTCACACCTCCGCCCTTGATACCTTCTCTCCATCAAGCACCAACTCTACCATCAGTGATCAACTTCCCTACTACAGTTGAAGCATATCTCAATTGCCTTTTTTTGCAATTGCTATATAAGAATTTTTGTCATTAGTGTAGAATATGTCAACACTATTTTTTTTTGGTTGTGGGTGTTGATAAACAGTGAATTTTAACAATGTGTTTGTTAACACATAATACGTTTAAATATGGTGTTTGTTAACACAGGAACCTTTAAGTATGTGTTTGCTAACACAGGGAACATTGAAGGATGGTGTTTATTAGCCCGAGAAATGTTTAAGGGTGGTACTTATTAACACAAGAAATGCTTAAGGATGTTTTATAACACAGGGAACGTTTAATTATGGCTACGGGCCAACCAGCAAATTTGATGTTGGACTTAAGACCTATCAACCCCGGAAGGGTTAAGGCCACCACAATAGCTTACTGGCCATCCAGCAAGTATACTTTAATCTTGATCATAGTCTGGCACTAAACTTATTGGATATATACCGAGAAGCGGGTGCATCTCCGGCACCTCTGTATAGAGATATTTGAGAGGCTCGGTCAAGCTTCGGTCAAGCCCTCCTTTTTCTGACGAGAGAGGTATATGGCTGGGGAGCCAGCGGTGGGCACACGAGAGACGAGAATAGTTTGTGTGACACTAGGCTAAATTACACTTGTATTAATGTGTTGGATTTTTCTGAGTGTTTTCTCCGTGTTTGGAGAGGTGAAACCATGAAGATGATAATATTGTTATGTATCACCATGCTTCTGTTCTTGGATTTAACTTGTTAAGTTATTTTACTCGTGGTGTTTTTTTAGGAGGCTATGCTAATGCCAGCTGAACTGTATTTTGATGTTGATAAGTTTGTTCAGCTGTATCCTTGACGCTGGGAAATGAAAATTCTGTTATTAGTGTAACTTTCACCTGTCTATATCAGAATACTTATTCAGCCATTCTGAGTTCAAGCGCAGCTAATCTACTTAAATATAGCCTATGTTTGCATGTTTATATTACATTACTACTGAGTCTAAGTTATGATAAAAATAAATTGTATGTCCAAAGTCTGTACCGTTAAGTCTTGGTTATGATTCCATGACAATTTATGTCAACTAAACCATTTCAAAAACCTTCTAGATAATTTCTGAATGGCCCGAGAATGTAGAAAAAAAGTAAAACAAAATCACCAAATTTTATAGAGCAACGAGACCCCTCTTGTTGTTTTTATCACATATACCAAGTTGGGTCAAACTCCTGTTTTCAGAATGCTGGTGACAAAAATAAATATTTAGCTTAGGAATAGCAGGGAAATTAAATAAACTAGACAAGGAGGTAGTAGGAAGCAACCCCGGTGGCAAGAAAGACAGGTACCAAAAGCTGAAGCTCAATTGTTTACACACAAATAGTAAGTGCTTTCGTGAATCTGGCCCCTGTTAAACATATAGTTCAGTGATTTATTTAACAATCAACCACAGTAGGTGATTGTAGTGTTTAAAAATGCTAAGCTAACCTACAAACATAAATACACAGATTTACGTCTGTCCTACATAAACAGTGTTCGAGGTGTCTTTTTACACAGTGTCATTAATGTGTGTTTACAAAGGAGAAATGCAATTCTGACCAGTTTCCACATACCCTGTATACAAATACACACACACATACATACATATATACACATATCCACATATATATACATACATACACCTATTTCTCTCCTACTTTGACAGGGTAAGATAGCTTCTATAGAAACTAGTGTGATATTAAACACTTAACCACTGAAGGAGATTAAGATGCTTTTACAAGCTCAGGTTATAGGTACATGCATTGTATAACAGATGCATTACATAGTCACTCTTGGGTACAAGTCCAATATATCATCAAGTGTTTCAGTATTCATACGTGTAAGCTGGCCTGGGAATGTGGGCAGGATTATAGGGAGTGTGGGCGAGGCAGGTGCAATGGACTTGTAGGGGAAGAACGTGTAGCACGCTAGGCTCTCCCTGCATTACCTTAATTATGATATCGGTCCCCATCTCCCTCGCACCCTCACCCTTCCTCCCTCCCTCACCCTCCGTAACTATTCACGCCCTCCTTCACCTTCCATTCATTACCCTCCTTCACCTTCCGTTCGTCACCCTTCCATCCCTCTTTCATCTTCCTTCTGTCACCCTTCCTCCCTCCCTCCATACTAGTCATGACTCCCAGATCTTTGCACACGCTGCAAATGGTTAGTCCCCAGACACCTTAAAGAGTTCAATAAATACAGAGCGTCCTTAACGAAGCTGTAAGATGTCTGCGACAAAGTAACAATAAGCCAGTAGAGATACGGGTGATCAAACTGCTGCTGCCTTGATCGGCAGAAAGTGATGAGCACCGAGGTGCACCAGCAGTTCCTGTACAAAGTGCTGGGGTGATGTGGGAATACCTCCCGAGAAGGAAACAGAAGGTAATGATGAGAAATGCTACGCTTGGGCATTCAAGGGAACTTCTAAAGAAAATGCGCATTGGACAAAGATGGGCTTAGGCCCTAATGAATTCATCCTACAATCACACCTTAGTGAGATAACTAGACAGAGTAGACAAATAAATGATGTTCAAACAAGAAAATTATAATAGGGACGAAGAACCAAGGTGGGAAACCCGGAGATGCAATTGAGTCAGAAATGTCAGAAATCTATGTGTTATTGTAAAGCTAGAGATGTAAACACGTGGAATAGGTTAAACTAGAGGTAATATTGTCATGATGCACTCAATAGGCAATGTCAACCACAAAATATGATACGATGCACGAAGAAAGTGATTAATTTCATTTGCCAATGGACAACTGGAAAGGCGGAGCTAAAGAGATGCGGCTCGATCCTGGATACACCGCTTGGTAAACACACGCATGCGCAACATCGAGGAGCGCAGAAGTCGCCTCGGGCACGAGGCCATTAAAAGAATTACTGTACACATGTGTGACCTACTAAGTGTGGAGTGGCGGACAGCCCACACGCAACCCGTGCTTTCCCCAACAAACACATCACCTAATAAAATACTAGGCATTACGTAAATGTAACCCCTGACACAGACAAGCGAGAGTCAGAAGCAGCCAGGGCGGCCACCAGTCGCCTACGGTCAGGGTACGAGGCGGGTGTTGCTTGTCCGAGAGTGGGATACAAGGTCTGTGACCTAGTGTGTATACTGTGTATGTGTGTAGCAGCACTCTCATATCTAGGAGATATGCCTCACAATATATATCATGTGTAACAACACATATGTTGGAGTAAATATGGCATATATTGTAAAGAAAATCTATAGGAGCCATGAGGAGGATTCGAACCTGCATAATGGGTACTGTCAAGCATATGCCCTAAACCACTCTGCCACGATATGCTGAAAACTATATAACCTGGGATTCAATTGCATCCCGCTAGGAGTCCTGAGGCTTCCACTGAAGTCCAATCGTGGTTTAATGCATTGCCCACATGTACCCTGGCTATGGTACGAGTTCTACCTCAACGCTTCTCTTCAAATGCACAAAGAAATCACAGTAACGTGATGTACTGGACATTGCGTACTCTCCGCATATGCTTGGGAGAACCCAGTGTGCTGGTTCAAATCTTCTCCTTGGCTCCTACTGTCTCTCTCTCACACAAAAGAGAGAGAGCTACCCAAACTTAGGGTAGCTTTGGTATAACCGCTACCCTTGTTACTAGGCGAGTACTATATGCAGGGTTACAGAGTTGGTGGCTGTGATATTAACAGTTTCGCCTCTCAGGTTGGTTTGTCATCAAAGACAGGTAATCAGTTAGCCGGCACTGACACACTTTGGATGCATTATGAGGATATTATCAAGAGCATGAGAATAAATAAAATAGTTGCAAAGCTCCTGGTACTTCATAAACGGTAGGTGTGAAGGGTTTAGTGACTTGACATTCAGTAATGTGTATATCATGACCCAGTTCCTGCTGAGAGACTTCACATCAGGATTGTTTGTTGTTATTTAAGATTCAGCTACTCTGAACAAGTTCCAAGTGGCACGGGCTATGGTGAGCCCGTAGTGGACTTACCTGGCACAGGAGTGGGGCTGAGGTCACATCAGGAGTACTCAGCGTTGAGAGATTCATCACTTGCAGTCACCTGCCACAGGGTAACGTAACCCAAATTGATCCTGGCAATTACTATGTCACACTCTGGCAAAAGTTGCCTTACTGAATGATTGGTCTGGTGAATTGATTTGCTTGGATGACTGCTTAACTGGTTCTTTGGTTGAGTGAATGACGCAGTGGCTGGTCGAATGAGTGGCTAACGGATTGGTTGATTTTGTTTAGTAATATATAATTACAAAACTCAAAACTGAACTACCTAATGATTGATTGACCTATTGGTAGAGTAAATCGAAGATAGTGACTAGGTTACCCGTTAATTTACCTATTGGTTAACTAATTAACTCCTTAACCGATTGATCGGTAATCCATATGACTCTAGTAGGTTTACTAAGCGACAAATTGATGAAGTGGGGCTTTGGTGATGACTGCTTTTTAAAAACATGGAAATTGACGAAGTTGACCACAGGTGACGGAAGGAAGGTAAACACTGGAGTATCGCTTAGTTGAATGAATGTTCGAATATCGCATATTTGTGACGTCGGAACGTTTAAACATCTAAACGTCGAGACGTTGGAACATTGCTACCTTCAGGCGTCATAATTTGAAACCTTGGTAACACAGCAACTGGAACATCGAGGTATTGAAACATTGAGCCACAGGCTTGGAGAAGTGAAGCCTGAAGCATCGAGGGGGCAGCAGTATAGGAGGATGAGCGGAACAGGAGAGGAGGACGAGGGGGCGAAGAGCCCCGGTTCCCGCAGCCCCCCTGTGGACGTTTCTGGCCTTAAGGAAAACCAACAGCCCAAGGTAATTACTGAAGCCTCCTTTGTTTGCTGTTAATAGTAAAAACAAATACAATTTTGTTTAGTATTTGTTAGTTTTGGAATATCTAGCAAAATTAACTATATGTTGAGTATGCTTTCTGTATATGCAAAAGCCAACCCATCCTCAGACCAAGTCCATTCCATCCAGCGGTCAACCCCAAAGACGCATTCCATCAGTTTTAACATTCTGTTCATTCAAAACAAACCTTTTTCTCAAATATAAATTAATATAATATATTAGCATATTGTGCATATATAGGCATAGGTTAGGTTAGGTGGTTAGGTTCTGTTGGCGATTATTTGCATTTGTGGTACGTGGGTGAAGCATTTATAGCGTTGTGGTTCGAACAAAATTCGTCAGTGAAGCACTTGTTCCGGAAGCGTTCGAACGAAATCAGTTGTGAGTCGTGTGTAAATCGTTTTTCATTCATAAACAGCGGGTTTGGTGGGTGCATGTAGTCACTTTTGGGCCTTTGTTTAGAGGACGGGTTGTCAAAAGCATTGTACTCTAATTTAGTGTGTTTTGGAATTTTCGCTGTGGACCTCTTGCTCGTGACGTCGCACGATCAGTGATGTTTGTTTACATGTGACAGCGGGTGTCCCGGGCGGCAGTCTTCATATTGAGTCTGTGGGCGCATGCGGTCCTACCATCGTTGTCGTCACTAAATCAGCGATAATATATCGAGTCTACAAAAGTATAATATAACAAGTTCAGGCGTTGAATACCATAGTGTCGCATCATAACAAATGTAGGTCTAGCAGAGTGGGGGTGAATTGGTAACTGGTAATTAGACTGCACGAAGACGGAAATTTACGTGAAATTCATAATGTCGAATGCGTGTTTTGCAAGATTTTCAGCCATCATGTATATATATATTATATTGTACATTAAAATATAAACAAATAACATATTAACTATCGCCGTGCTTCATAACGCTTTTGAGAGATTCAGGTCAGAGGTCTAGAGTTAAATTCCAGCGGCAGGAAGTAAGCCGTTTAGCCCACTTTTCTTTCATGTGCTGCCTCTGTTCACCAGCAATAAATAGGTATCGGGAGTTGGGCACCTGTTATGGGATACATCCTGGGCAAGGTCAGTCGTTAATTGATCGAGGCCCTAAGCCTACGGATGGGCCTAACAGGTTTCTTGTCCTCGAATCTGAAAACGCCATATTAGTCATATTACTGTGTCCTTGACGTAGTCATATTACTTGTGTCCTTGACGCTGAATTATGTCACTATGACTGAACTGTGTGTGCGCCCAGCTAGTGTAATGTATGGTGTCGTTGTGTAATATGTTGTTGTTATAGGTTCAGCTACTCGGATCAAGTTCCAAGTAGCACGGGCTATGGTGAGCCCGTAGTGGACTTACCTGGCACAGGAGCGGTGTTGTATTATACTGCGTAAGAGTGTGTAGAATTGTAGGTAGGTGTGGTGTGTTGTAAATGATCGTGTAGCGTGTGGTATTCGTGTAGAAGCCGGAGGCAGGGGAGGGGCCTCATTGTTGATGTATCTTGTTAACACTAAACACACGCACACGCCCATAATGCTCTCACACGCATCCACCCACCCGTAATGCGCGTGCACGCACGCATCCACTCGTAATACGCGTACCAACACCTCGATCCTGCAAGCACGAATAGTAAATACATACACAAGTCTTCATGGACAGTGCTGGGGAGTCGTAGTGCAAAGGGCTCGGGTACGATTTTCTTAAGCAAAAACAAATGGGCATTCCTTCACTTGATGCCTCTCCTCACCTTGCAGTAAATCGGTACCTGGAAGTTAAACAGCTGCAACAGGCTGCAATCTAGTGATGTGTATGTATGTGAGATAGGGTGTGAGAGAGAAAGAAATGCATGTAGTAGATATGATAAAGACAATTAGGTCGGGAATCGATACAATAGACGACGGACGGTTATTTTGACCAGACCACACACTAGAAGTTGAAGGGACGACGAAGTTTCGGTCCGTCCTGGACCATTCTCACAATCGACTTGAGAATGGTCCAAGACGGACCGAAACGTCGTGGTCCCTTCAACTTCTAGTGTGTAGTCTGGTCAACATACTTCAGCCATGTTGTGACATCGCCTGCAACGGACGGTTAGAAAGGCGGGATCAAAGAGCTGACAGTTCAGTCCTGCAGGAACACCGTGGCTATGCTAACTCTGGTCTCTGGCTTGACAGCAGCAGGGAGGAGTGGCAGAGGTAGAGGGCCGGCGGTGGTCAGGTCCCGCAGGTGGCGGCGGCGGCGGCATCCTTAGGCTCGATCCAGCCAAGCCTCGCCGGGCCTCAGCCGCCTCCGTAGACTTCAAGGCTGACAAGGTAAGGGACCGCGGCTTCTAAGTGTTGGGGCCATTACACGGTGCTTATATCGTACTCTACTACATTTACCTTTTGCTTCGTTCACTGCTTTTCTTTTTAATCATCACATATAATACTGTAGCTTTAATTTGGGATTGAATAACTGTCTCTGGGCTGTATCATAATAAAATGAAATACTTTGTGATTTAATCTTATTTTACTACAATTATCTTCTAGTTATCTTCTATATTAAACAAATAAGATTAAAGTTGTTTTTAAATATATTTATCTTATTGTCAATATTGTGTCTATACTTTCCTTGGTTCCTTGATGATGACGACGGTCATCCAAACTTTGTTGTTAGTCAGAGCTATATGTTCTCTAAGTTTGTTTAATGAAAACATTTAGTTAGCAATTCTTATGTAGTGTTCAGAGTAGAAATTGTATTTGCTTTTCTTGCTATATAATCTTCCATGACCCTCCGATCTCTCCATAGTTCTCTAAGCTCTCCCCATACCCCCTGAACTCTATCACGACTCTTATAGTCCCTCGAGTTCTCCTATAGCTCTTTGAGGTTCTCTATATTATAAGTTTCACTATTGATGATGGTGACACTCCCCCTGAGCAGGATGACCCCGCCTCGCCGTGTCCCAGCGACCGTCTGAGTGTCACCTGGGCTGATGGTGAGAGATCAGTGTCCAGCGACGCGGTGTCCCTGGTCCCGCGGGGTCCCATGTCTCCCGACCCGCCCCCCGTCATCACACTTCCCCCGGGTAAGTTCTGCGTGTGGTATGGGGGAGAGATGATTGATTGATGAAGGTTAAGCCACCCAAAAGGTGGCACGGGCATGAATAGCCCGTAAGTGGTGGCCCTTTTGACCCATTACCAGTATCGAGAGCTGATACTGGAGATCTGTGGAGGTGCAACCAAGGTGGAGAGAGGAAGGGAACTTTTGTTTATAGAGCTTGTTGTTGATTTATGATATAACTCTGAAGGACATAGTGGGCGTGTTCAAAACTGTAACCTGATGAGATTTAGTGTTTTATTAAGTTTTCTGATGTTGGTATACAAGTGCTATAGTGTGGGTTTCCTTGGTCAGCGTGTGGGACCTCCCTGGAAGAGCCGCCCGTCGAGGATGACTTCAACGCCAGCATCTCTGCCATCCTCAAGCGCTCTAACTCTAAAGGCTCCAGACGAGGCTCTAAGAAAAAGAAAAAGATTCGCAGGACCTCCACCATGACTACTAGCTCCGGAGAGTGAGTTTTAAAGCAGGGGGTCACGATTGTTTTTGACGACTAGGAGTGTCATCAGCTCCCAGAAGTGCCTTTATTGGCAGGTTTGCAGTAGTACACTTGTAGGCAGGCACGCTAGAGTGCTCTTGTTGTCGGGCACACAGTAATACAGTTCTTATCAGGTATGCAGTAGTATCGTTGAAGGTATCAACGCAACACTGGTTATTGTAAACTCCAGAAGTTTATTGGTTATTGTTAACTCTAGAAGTTCCAGGTATTGGTAGGCATCCGTACAAATATATTTTGTGCGAGTGTGTATGTAAGTTCCCTAGTGAGTGTGTGCAAGTTCACTGACAGTGAAATATGGCAGTAACATTTGTGCGTGGCGGCAGGACGGTGGTGGAGGTGGAGGAGTCGACTGCGGACGAGGTGGCGGAGACCCTCCGGATCCATAAGGAGGTGCTGGCCGGCGTCAACCAACAACCATGGCCGATCGCCAGGCAAGTTCACATCCACACTGCTAGTTCTCCTGGCTCTGATCCTAGTTAAGTATCTAATAGTTGTGGGGGGGGGGAAAGGAGAATTTTGGAAATCGCAACTGGAACTGGGTGTTTTGTAAAAGTGTAGCGAGCCAGGTACTACTGAGTGGTATGTATATGGATGTACACGAATAGTGTGTATTGTCTTGCAGGAAACTACGGCTGGCACGGTCAGCAAGAGAGTATATTCAGCGGCACGAGGGCGAGCTGGAGGAACGTCTGGCCCAGAGCTCCAGCACCAAAGATGTCCTCCTCAGACACTTCATACGCGTCAGGAGGGTCGGTTCCCCGTCCTCTTCATTCTCATTTGCTTTTCCCCTTCTCTAATTGTCACTTGCTCTCTTTTTGGCTCTCGTCCATCTCTGCCTCAACTTTACAACCATCAGGTAACGTTTAGTGTGATAGTTTCATAGTAATGAGTATTTTAACGATGAATGCGAAAATAAATGGCGAGCGTTTCCTGTTAGGAAGTTAGTTCTCTCAGTCACTCTGTAAAACATTAACTGTCTTAATTTTTGGCGTTTATTATTTCTCATAGTCGTAGTCAGGACGCCTGTGAGGCTTATCGAGGTCACCTTTAGGTCTAAGCCAGCCACTGAACTTTCCCAGGATGCAACCCACAACAGTTGCCCAACTCCCACTTACCTGTTTATTACTATAACATAGTGACGGGAACACGACTACATTAACTACTTGAGGTGAAAGTAAGTGATGAGGTTACCTTTAGCTTGGTCAAGTTTGGCTTGGCTTAGCTAGGTTTTTGAGGATTAGGTTATTTCTACTCGAGGACAGGTAGGAGTAATGTAGTATTATTACGGTGACCGCGGTAGCCGTATAACCAACAATGATTGTTTTTTACACAAGAAATATTTTAAAAATGAATTTTGCTCCCCACAAACCTGTATCCATCATCCTATCCACTACCTCCCTACCGCAGGTGGCGCGAGCGGGGGTACGGGCCGTGTACCTTTGGGTGGCGGGGCTGGAGCCATGGCAGGGACGCATCAAGACCATAGAGTCCCACTTCGGGTCTGCCGTGGCCTCCTACTTCACCTTCCTCCGGTGGGTGCTTGGCCTCAACGTCGCCCTCACTGCTCTCTTCGCCGCCTTTGTCATCATCCCCGAGGTGAGAACTGCGCGTTAGGAATGTCATATTTCCTCTTGATTGTTGTCTTATATTTTCAACGAAATTTAATAGACGTAATTCAAATTCGGGTGAGTCAACAAACGGGTAAATTCATCACGGATGAATCAAGGCCGATTAATTAAGGAACTGAATTGAGCATTGGGTCAATTAACCCTTCCCCCTGCAGTTCCTGGCCTCGGAGCGTTCGGCGGCTGGAGAGCGCAAGAGCATTCTGAGAGAGGACCGGGTCAGAGCATACGACTTCAAGGTAATGTGGGACTTCGAGGGCGTCCTCCGGTACTCCCCGGTTTTCTATGGCTACTACAGCAAGATCCCCACCACCAGAGAAGGTTACAGGCTCCCTCTCGCCTACTTCCTCACTTCCCTTGCCGTCTATGCTTACAGCTTCATCGCCATACTGAGGAAGTGAGTGGAAAAGGCACCCAAATCTTCTGTATACTTTTTCCTGAATAGTTTGTGTGGGGACAGGGAGGGGGTTCTGGACCGTGACTTAAGGCGTGCTACCTGCTCGACAGAATGGCAGCCAACTCGCGCATGTCGAAGCTGGCGGAGGACGAGGAGTGTACCTTCGCTTGGCGTCTCCTGGCGGGTTGGGACTTCACCATCGGCAACCTGGAGGCGGCACAGAACAAAGTGGCCGCTATCAACACCGGCTTCCGGGAATCTCTGCTCGAAGCTAAGGAGCTCGAGAAGGAAGAGAAGAGGTAGAGATAAGTGGGGGAGAAGGTAAAAGTAGGGGATGAGATAAGAGAATGCCATCTTACAATTGGACATATCAGAGCACTGCTCGAAGCAAAGTAACCTCGGCTGGAAGACGGTACACTATGGGAAGGGGAGATTAACGTTAGAGTCGCTTTTATAACGCTTCATATCTCTAATTATTTCCTGTTAGTATTTGTTAATGTTTACTTAAATTGTTAAGTATCCATCTTGAACAAAGATGAGATCAGTACTATTATTTCAGAGAGAAGTAATTTTTTGTTTTTGTTTTGAGAGATCTTAAATGTGCTACAAGAAAACCATTTTTGTAACAAGTCCAATGTAACGCAAGAACTCTTGCGTGTGTGTGTGTGCGTGTGTGTAATAATAATATATATATATATATATATATATATATATATATATATATATATATATATATATATATATATATATGCAAACAAGCCTGAATGGTCCCCAGGACTATATACAACTGAAAACTCACACCCCAGAAGTGACTCGAACCCATACTCCCACAACTGGTATGTACAGGGACGCCTTAATCCGCTTGACCATCACGACCGGACAAAAGGAAGTGATAGCCGAGGCTATATGAACCACTTCCCCGCCGGCACTCGGATGGTAATCTTGGGCATAGCATTTTATCAAATCACCTCATTCTTTGGGGCACACGTGAGGAACACAAATGCAAAACAAGCCTGAATGGTCCCCAGGACTATATACAACTGAAAACTCACACCCCAGAAGTGACTCGAACCCATACTCCCACAACTGGTATGTACAGGGACGCCTTAATCCGCTTGACCATCACGACCGGACAAAAGGAAGTGATAGCCGAGGCTATATGAACCACTTCCCCGCCGGCACTCGGATGGTAATCTTGGGCATAGCATTTTATCAAATCACCTCATTCTTTGGGGCACACGTGAGGAACACAAATGCAAACAAGCCTGAATGGTCCCCAGGACTATATACAACTGAAAACTCACACCCCAGAAGTGACTCGAACCCATACTCCCACAACTGGTATGTACAGGGACGCCTTAATCCGCTTGACCATCACGACCGGACAAAAGGAAGTGATAGCCGAGGCTATATGAACCACTTCCCCGCCGGCACTCGGATGGTAATCTTGGGCATAGCATTTTATCAAATCACCTCATTCTTTGGGGCACACGTGAGGAACACAAATGCAAACAAGCCTGAATGGTCCCCAGGACTATATACAACTGAAAACTCACACCCCAGAAGTGACTCGAACCCATACTCCCACAACTGGTATGTACAGGGACGCCTTAATCCGCTTGACCATCACGACCGGACAAAAGGAAGTGATAGCCGAGGCTATATGAACCACTTCCCCGCCGGCACTCGGATGGTAATCTTGGGCATAGCATTTTATCAAATCACCTCATTCTTTGGGGCACACGTGAGGAACACAAATGCAAACAAGCCTGAATGGTCCCCAGGACTATATACAACTGAAAACTCACACCCCAGAAGTGACTCGAACCCATACTCCCACAACTGGTATGTACAGGGACGCCTTAATCCGCTTGACCATCACGACCGGACAAAAGGAAGTGATAGCCGAGGCTATATGAACCCCTTCCCCGCCGGCACTCGGATGGTAATCTTGGGCATAGCCCACAGATTAAGGCGTCCCTGTACATACCAGTTGTGGGAGTATGGGTTCGAGTCACTTCTGGGGTGTGAGTTTTCAGTTGTATATAGTCCTGGGGACCATTCAGGCTTGTTTGCATTTGTGTTCCTCACGTGTGCCCCAAAGAATGAGGTGATTTGATAAAATGCTATGCCCAAGATTACCATCCGAGTGCCGGCGGGGAAGTGGTTCATATAGCCTCGGCTATCACTTCCTTTTGTCCGGTCGTGATGGTCAAGCGGATTAAGGCGTCCCTGTACATACCAGTTGTGGGAGTATGGGTTCGAGTCACTTCTGGGGTGTGAGTTTTCAGTTGTATATAGTCCTGGGGACCATTCAGGCTTGTTTGCATTTGTGTTCCTCACGTGTGCCCCAAAGAATGAGGTGATTTGATAAAATGCTATGCCCAAGATTACCATCCGAGTGCCGGCGGGGAAGTGGTTCATATAGCCTCGGCTATCACTTCCTTTTGTCCGGTCGTGATGGTCAAGCGGATTAAGGCGTCCCTGTACATACCAGTTGTGGGAGTATGGGTTCGAGTCACTTCTGGGGTGTGAGTTTTCAGTTATATATATATATATATATATATATATATATATATATATATATATATAGTATAAATATATAATATATTATATATATATAATATATGTTTCATTATTTTTTTGCGCTGTAAGGTAGGTAGTAGTGAAAATAAGGTATAAAGGTAGTGATTCGGGTTATGCACGAGAGTAAGGGAAGCTAGTTTCTGGGACGAGGGGTTATACTTTCCTCCTTAGTGACAGTTATATTACTCAGTCCCAATAGACTAGAGACTTACGGGGTATTCATGCCCGTGCCACCTTTTGGATGGCTTAATCTTAATCGACTAGAGAAGTTACGGCGCCTGCGTCACCCTTTCCTCCTCCAGCTGGAAGCTCCGTGTACGGCGGGTATTGGCTCACCTGATAGTACTCCTGCTGATCATGGGCAGCGCCTACGCCGTGGTGCTCCTAGTCAAACGCTCTGAAGACGTCGACGGGTCCTCCTCCTGGTACCGGCAGAACGAACTCACCATCACCCTCACCCTCATCTCCATGGTCTACCCCAATATCTTCGACGTGAGTAACACTTTGCTCTTCCTTACAATTTAATGTTCTTTTAACAAATTATGCCTCTGGAATTTGCAATCTTCTCTTCATTGTTTATTTGTAGTTCGGCATATTAAACCAATTGTGTATTTTACGGTACAATATGTTGTGAACAGATAGTTGTTTTGGCATCATAAAATCCCAATCATCTTGCAAAATGCCTGCCAGAAGATAAAGTAAGAAGTAGATAGTCAGTGGCGTTAACTGAATATTACAGTTACAAAAGACTGAGCATTGTGATTTTTTAATCAAACTGACCCCAACAATGACAGTGGATGTTTCAACCGTGGGTCGTGGTTTACTAGGATATCAGTGTTGACAAAACTTCCTTCGTCACACAAAAGGCCCGGCAAGGAAGTAGAGCCTTCATCGCTTTACACTATCATTCTTGCATTGGCAAACACACCAATTCTTGTTAGGCCTAAGTTGCCTCCGGTAGAGGCGTCCAATGTGTCATATTAGTCGTCATCCGCTTGGGGTCCAGCTCGAATTTCAGCTTTTTGCTAATGCTTCTTCATAATTTTGTCATTGTTTGGTCTTTTAAGATGATGACAAAACTTTGCCATGCATGACAGAAGCCTCCTGGTATGGTGATTGGTGTTGAAGACATACACCTTGAGTAGTGTATGTCTTAATGTTGGAATAAAGCATCGACAATACCCGGGTCTTCTCTGGTTCAAACCCAGCTGCCATTTCGAGGACTGCCACGTTCCGTAAGCCCATTCCAGTTGCAAATACCAGCAAAAATTCCATCTCTTGGTTACAGACCTTGTGCCACAGGCAACACCAACACCACGACATCAGAGTCAAGCACTCGGATAAGGATCTTGTGGTGGCCATATTGTTCAGCATTTGACGCATGCAGCAACACGCGACTGTCAACTTCATGGCTACATGAGCGAGTGATGCTAGGTCCGCCAGTGGCGGCTTGCTGAGGACAACCTGTTTGTCTCTCATGTTGAACCCCTGGAGAGTGGCTTCTAAGAACCTGAGTACCTCCATCTTGTTGCATTCTATGCGGAGGCAGGTCTAGCAATTTCCTTGCCCGTTGCTATACCAGGAAATTGCCAGAGCTTCATTTACAGGGACGGAATGTAGTAAGATTTCTAAACATTCCTTTCTCACGTGTTTTGTTCTTGTGTCTTTCAACGAATATTCAAGCCTGTTGTATCCTGCAGCTTTGTGGATATTTAGGCTATATAGATGACTGGCATACTAATCTGAGGTCTTGCAAGTATCTGACTTCAACATCAGGATGTTGTTGGTCCCAACAAGAGCTATACTGATTACAGAGGATTAGCCAGACGCTACTATTGCAATGTCTTCCAGAATCGGCAACAGCTGAATCTTGAATATCAGCATATATGAAAAGCTAATTTCATGTTATCTAAGTATATTGCTCATTTTATTCACATTTTTCTTCATTATATCTCGTAATATTGTGATTAGTATAATTATTTTCCTATGTCGCACTTTGTGTGCTGATGTTCTTTAGTATACTGTTGTATCATCCTTTAGTATCGTACCATGTAATTATGTATCTTGTAATTATTTTCACCCTCTTCTGTAACCTGAATATCCTACACCACTGCACCATCCACCATTTTATCATGCATTACATGTACCGTGGCGCCCTGGGTATGACAGGTGGTGGGACTCCTGGAGGTGCGCCACCCGAGGAACCAGCTTCAGTGGCAGCTGGGCCGTATCATGGCTCTCAATCTCCTCAACCTTTACACACTCATCTTCGCCCTCTTCTCAAAGGTCGACGACATGGTAAGCAATTCTACCTGCTGAGATAATAACATTTATATAGAATTGGAGATAGTGTAAGATTCCCGTGTTTGTATAAATAAAGGATGTAGAAATGATCTTTCAGACGACAGAGTTGGGGGAGCTGAAGACCAATCTAACAGAGACTTACAGCATATCGACCACGCTAGATTTCACCATGGGCTTCTCCCAAACTACACCGCTCCTCACAGATGACCCACGCTCGTCCTGGTTCTCTTACATAGACTCTACGGATGCCTCTAACCTGCCTAATGCCTTAAGTATGTCCATGCATGATGTATTAAATGCCTCGCTACCAGGCATAAATAACTCTTTAGTGGACCTGCTGACCACAGCCTCCTGGTCTCTGCCACCTGCGTCGCCAGACCCAGCCACCCTGACTGCAGCGGGAGGGCAGCACTTGAGCCACGGCGCCACCCTGGCCACGTCACTACTGGCTGCTGCCGCCTTCACAGGGTGAGTTAAGTGATACCAGTTGTTGCATTAGTGTGTTTATTCACTAGTTTATATGTAATGGGTGCAAGTCATTGATGCTAGTGACTGCAAACACAATCTTAACTATCGGCTGTTTTCCTTTCAGTATACCGCTGTCAAAGAGCGATCCCAGGCTGAAGGAGCCTCTTCCACCTCACTGTCATCTGGTGCCACATCCTTGCCTCATGGTACCCTCCATATCGGACGTCACTACACCCACTCCTACGGAGGCCACAGTAGCGCCAACAACCACCTCGAAAGTTAACACTGGAGTTACTCCGCTGACCACACCGACGACATTGGATTATGAAGACTGGCTCAGAGCTGCCTATGACAAAGTAACTGAGGATCCAGCCCCTGATGACGAGGGAGCAATTTATATTTATGACGACGACAACATCACTACAAATCCCACAACGGTGCTACTACCTGGTAACACCACCACCTTGCTGGATTCGCCAAGGGGCACCATCACCACCACCTTGCCGGATTCATCATGGGGTACCACCACCACCTTGCCGGATTCACCACGGGGCACCATCACCATCTTGCCGGATTCACCACGGGGCACCACCACCATCTTGCCGGATTCACCACGGAGCACCACCACCACCTCGCTAGATTCACCACGGGGCTCCATCACCACCTCGCAGGATTCACCACAAAGGGGCGTCACCACCTCGGCAGAATCATCATGGACAACTACAATTGAGACTCGTCTAGGTAATGAGAGCTACCTCAATAGTGAGACCCTTAATGGAACAGATCTCTTGCTAAACTCCTTGCATCTAGAAGAAACGTTAGATTCCAACATTACGTCGAAAGACTTTAGCGGAAATGATGCAACAGCATACGCTTCCAAAAAGCCTTTCGAAAGCACAGAGTCGGTTTTAACAGAAATCTCTGCGCCTCTACTTCTAGACGAAACAGCAACACCGGATTCTGTCAGTCGAGAAATATTTTCTCCAGGTGATCCTATTGATCATGCAGAATCATTGCCTTTAACGTCTGAAAGAAATGGTAATTCAAATGAGGCGCTCGAGCATCTCTTAAGAGCCATTCCTGGCATTCCTGCAAGATTTAACACACTTTTTCTAGATTATGCCAGTGAGAATGGGGCAGGCCAATCAGATGAGACCATAAACAAACATTCACTTGATACAAATGATTCTCCAGTAAGAAGAATGAAACGGGAAATACTTAAGCCTTACCCAAAGAAACGCGAGATGGCTAAAGAGGTGAATGAAAAAAAACGTACAAGACTTAAAAAAAATCGAGACTTCAATAATCAAGGTGAAAACAGAGAGATTAGAGTTGTGGATCGAAGATCTCGAGACCTATACAAAATAAGTCGTGGCATCAATGGAAAGACTCAAGAACAAGGAGGCAAGAACCGTGTGAAGAGAGTCATCAACGATTATGAGGGCTTGAGTATTCATGATCTGCTTGATTCCCCAAGATTCAAACTAGAAACAGATGGCAGCATCGATTTTGAACCACATTTTGGGGAAGAAAACAAAAGTTTTGAGATGAAAAATGAAGCTTTAAAGACTGAAGCAGTGAATGATTTAAATGTGAGGGAGAGTGTGGAAGCAGATCAATATAGTTCCGTGGTACCTGGTGATCATCTCGCTTTGACTACCCATGATCGAGCCAGCTATTGGGACACAATGTTAAAAAATCTGAATGCTGAAAACGGAAATGCATCGGAATCGCTGACGTATGAAGACGGAGCAGCGACACGGTGGTCGACGGAGCACTCAACGCGACCAGCCACTTGGAGGATGGCAGAGATGGGTGAACCCTGGAGCTTGACTTCTGAACCTGAAGACGATGATTGTTATATTATAGTGTGTGATGGTAAGACACTCAACGACTTGGGCTTTCATGATTACCAGTATTATAAATCTGAATATTGACAGGTCATCAGTTGTGCTTATGAGGTTTAACCATGCATTTGCAAGTTAAATTTTATAACGTCTGTTAAATGCTATACCTATCTCATGATTGCGAGGTTCTATATTTTCTATAGGTAAAATTCTTACACTTTAACTACAGATTCATTTTGAAGTGTTGCTGAATCGTAGCTAATTAAGCAGAATAGTAGTATAATGTGTTTATCTTGTTTATCGATAGTTTACTTGGGAATATTTTTGTTTGAAGACTAAGGCGGTGTGGTGGAGTGTTGACGAAGGTGTTGACAAAATACCTGTGGAAACGATACTTTTGTAGCTAACATGCTCCATGAATTCAACCTGACCATTAAATTTATATTTTTGCATTTTTTTCAGCAAGAGATGTACTATGTAGTGTAAAATTTGCAATACATTAATTTCAGGTGATATTGTGTGCAATATTTAATTTTGTTTTCAAAGTGACTAGTTTTTATAGTCAGGAATATCCCATTCGAATTTGATGTCTCGACAACGTGTATGCAACCCCAACCTTTCGTCTACTCTTCCTTTCCAGCGCCAACAGAAGACACCACTTTAAGATCCACTCAGATCTCTAGGACGGCCCCTACTTCACCAGTATATACGTCGAGTGCTACTGCACCACTGACTTCAGTAACGCCTACATCACCTGCACCCACTGAAGCCTCAGAGGCAACAGTCACTGCTACAGATTTCGTTTCATCGATATCCGGGTCCGAGGCTTCGCCACCGCCATTGATGGGCCCCGAGTCGCAACACTTCCTGGTACAGCCCATGAAAAACAACCCGGAGAAGTGGGCGCCTCTGCTGCCGAGCAAGATGCGCCAGCGGCTTAGGAAGCTGTGCTGGGAGACCATGTTTGGCCAGGAAATAATTAAGCTCACTGTTATGGACATGGTGAGTTAGTGCATTGCCTGCCTCGCAGCTGTTTATTATACTATCTATGGTCTCGGGTGAGAGCATCTTATCCTTTCTTTTAGAGATGGTGAATCTACCTACAATTCAAAACACAATGTTAAAAAGTAAAGATTATACATCGCGTCGTAAATATAACATCATCAACTTTTTATTAGTGTCAACTGCCAATAAGCAAATAGTGAATGCACAACTGTCTTTAAGTTGTCTGTCCATTTTTTTTTTCTTCATCTATCTTAGGTCCTAATAGACTGTCCCTCTACCCTCCGTCTCCTCCACAGGTAGTAACAGTTGTTACCATTGTGATCGGGGACTACATCCGGGCGGTGATTGTGCGCGTCTTCAACAACTGCTGTTGCTGGGACCTGGAGAAGCAGTTCCCTGGCTACCCGGATTTCAAGATAGCCGAGAACATTCTCCATCTCGTCAACAATCAAGGCATGGTCTGGTGAGTAGATGAGTAGAGGCTCTCATAGGATATGTGAAGCTCTTCTAAAACCGGTTATGATCCTATGGCAGTGATTTAAACTAGTGGGGTTCAAAGACAGCCAAACTGGAAAAGGTTTGATCACTATAATAGCTTAATGTTCATGGAAAAAAAGAGATTTCCCCTAGAACAGTGAACCTTGGAAGAGTAGATGGGCCCGGGTCCTTGGGAGGGGGGTGAGAAGTGTCAGCTAGTATTGAGTGACACACTGTCATGTATACCAGTCTTCTCGCCCATAGTAAAATATGGCACTGGTATTCATGCGAGCATCCTTCCTTCCCCCTCCATCAGGATGGGAATGTTTTTTTCGCCTGGGCTGCCGGCGCTCAACACGTTTAAGCTGGTGGTGTTGCTGTACGTGCGCTCGTGGGCGGTCGTCACCTCCAACGTCCCACCGGAGACAGTCTTCAAGGCCTCCAACAATAACAACTTCTACCTCCTCTTCCTCCTCACTATGCTCTTCCTTTGTACCCTCCCTGTTGGGTAAGTTTTAGATAATAAAAAAAACTGTAGTTGAATGGTTGCTAGGAATGCTGGTTTATTGCTGAAAGATTTGAGCTAGAATTTCTAGAAGTTCCTTGTCATGTGTTCAACCAATATGATTATCGGTACTTGTTACTAATACTGATGTTAATACTAATGGCCTCACAGCTGTCACAACTTGTATGAATAGTAAGTGTAATATACACTAGATTTATATATTGTTGGTACTTATTCTAATACACCTTCCTCAACCACTTGTGCTGCAGTGTAGTTTGCCAACCAGCTATAGTTCCAAGATAATGCTATGATCTCTTAGACCTCTTCTAGCTTTTATTAAAAGTGTAGGGGTCTAAGGAAGTAGTCTATTGTTCTAAGGGGGTGACTTAGTTACTTGTCCCCATCTCAATCATTGTCTCCTGCTGTAAATTGCTTAGATTATAGAACATTAGGGTCTAGTTCCTGAACCCAATGTGTTACTGTAACCTTCTACACTACCACTCGTAGTATGGGTGTATAATAAATTTACCTGCATTTACTTGAGGGTCATTATATATCTAGTGGCCTCGATGAGGACAGTAAAGCCACCAGCATGTTAAAGGTCACTAATTTGTCCTGATTTTTATTGAGCTAGAAATTAACTGGAAAAAACTCCATTTGTCACTTGGGAGCGGGACCTCTTGCATGCCACAAGCTCCTACAAGGAACCCTGGGAGGACATAAATTATTCCTTCTCCCTATAAAACAAATGCAAAACACTTGGGTGAAGCAAATTTTTCAAAAGCAAAAATAATTTCGGTTAATAAAAACTTAAATCTGAAATTAAACTGGAAAGTGCTCCTAACTGTAACCCCCCCCCCCCTCTATCCCCTGAGGAGGCTTCCCTGTAAGACGGCTGTACATATATACCTGGCCTTAATCTTGGACCTGACCAGGTTAGATGCCTTGGCAGGAAAACCATGGACAAGTGGAGCTCCATTGCAGCATGGGGACCTCGCCCTGAGACCACCACAATGGCGGCACTCCTCCACTAACCACAAATTGCTTTCCTACCTCCCAGGATGTTAGTTTAACCAACTACCCATCCTGTGGGCAAGTGGCACGAAGATTACAGTGAGTCGCATAATTGGCTAATATACTGGACCACATTCACCTGCGGATAATATACAACCTCGCTACAACTTCTGCAATTTTCAAATTAGTGAAATTTATGTGGGGATGACACTACATATTTTCTACCCAAACATCAACTATTGCACCGTTTGTAGAACATTAAAGCACTCCTGCAGTATGTCTTAAATAATTCTCCTTCAATAACAAAAGTCCTGTAGATGCTATACTGATTACCTTTTTACACACAAAGTTGTTGCCACATTTTCTACCATGAAATGAGCAAACTTCCCATCTGTGGCAGGTATGCGGTGGTGTGGCTGGAACCATCGTGGCATTGTGGGCCTTTCAGTGACTATCCCAGGATCTACCAGCTGGCAACCTCCACACTGATTGGAGGCCTCCCAACCTCCCTCTACCCTGTAGTTGACTACATCTCCTCTCCTGGTGTGGTCATTCCAGCTGGCCTCCTCCTTGTCCTGATAATCTACTATCTATTATCCCTGACAGCAGCCCTCAGGGAGGCCAACAGCGACCTCAGGGTAAGAGGGTGTAGGAATACAGCCTGTCCTCCAAAGATCAAAAAGTCCATTGCATGCACCTGCCAAACTCCGTTTATAAATGAAAAACAGTTTACACAAGACTTGCAACTGATGACGTCCTAACACTTCCGGAACAAATGCTGACAAATTTTTTTTGAATCGCAACACTGTAAATGCTTCACCCACGTACTGTTTTACAAATACAAATAATTGCCAACAGAACCTAAACACCTACCCTAAGATGACCAGTGCCTAAATAGGCACTATTCTAATATATATGTAATACTAATTTTATATTTCATAAAATTCCTGTTTTGAATGAACGGCATGTTAAAATTTATGAATGCGTCATTGAGGTCGACCACTGGATGGAATGGACTTGGTCCGAGGATTGGTTGAGGAATAATGCAGAATTAATTTTCTGCCTCGACATGGTGTCAAGCCATGTGAAGGATTTTTTATATCGTTAAATCATAACTGCATTTTTAAATTCCCATTTAAATATATTTGCTTACGAAATGATATACAGTATTTAACCAGAAGTTTGCACTAATGAATTTTAAATCTAATCTACAGTATTTTGTTGTATCATGTGTGCTGATCGAGTCCCTCCACAGGATCAGCTTCGCCATGAGAGGTCAGCGGAGAAGCGCAAGGCCCTGGATGCTCGCTCTGGCATTAAGGGACGCCCTGAAACTCCAACCACTAGGTCAGTCATACTACTTGAGGTAATGTACCAGATGGGGTACCTGGCTGTGGGCAGATGTGTGTGTATGGTGCTGAAAGTATTGTCACGAAGGAACTAGTAACAATGAATACAAATTAGACATTTATATTTAAAATATATCTATTAGGCAAGCATTGATTCAACAGTCACTGAAAGAAAACTCAAGCTTAATCTAATACACTACATACATGGATGTAAATATTTGGATGTAAGTCAGAGCCAGCCTAGCACAAGCTAGTAGGCCTGCTGGAGAATTTTCTTCTTGTGCTCCTGTGTTTAATGAATGTATACGTTCAACAGGTGGGGCCGGGTGGTGCCACTGACACCCATGCCACGGGCACGCCTTGATGCTACCAGTGATCCTGAGAAGCCAATTGACAAGAAATCTAGTCTAACTGGCATGTCTAGTATAACCTCTCGTTTATATTTAAATTTGCATAATTTTTGTACTGTATTATACATTGTGCATTTCAGTTGATAGCGTATGTTAATCTTTACTCTGGATGTTTAAAAAACAGCATATTGGCTTTTGTAAAAAAATATTTATATTTATGGTGAATGTATGGTGCATACTGCCTTCTCGGTCATATTTCAATTTATTGTAATTAGTATTTCCCATCAGTTTGCCTCTTCTGTTCACTCCAGCATATTGTTTATAGCATTATTCCCACAGGAGACATTGGCCCATTGGTCCCCCTCCCTTCCTCTCCCAGGGGCAAGGATGATGGGTCCTGGCCTGATGATGGCACTGATCTGGGACAGTCTGAGGTGTTCGATGACTCCCTCTCAGAGCCTCGTAGAGCGGGGAAGGACACGCCAACCATAGACAGCGGAGATACGGTCATGCCAAAACAAGAGGCCAGGCGGCATGATAAACGGAAGGAAGTGGAAAAAGAAAGAGGTACAGAATCTGCTCCAAGAAGTCCTTATTCCAGACCAAAGAACAGGCGCAATTCCTCCTCGCATGGAATTAAAGATGAAGATGAAATAAGTTTATCCAAGATACAAAGAGGGCGGCACCGAAGCTCTGGAAGCCAGCACAAGTCCACTAGAATGTCACAAAAAAGGAAAGAGTCTGATGACAGCGGTCACCGAGACTCGTCAACCTCGGTTAAAGCTGGTCATAGACAAAGCATCGACTCGCCAAAGGAAAGGAGAAAAGGATCCGGACCTCAGACAGATAAATTGAAGCACAATATGCCACAGGAATGTGTCCAGGAGCTGAACAAGGTTCTGCAGAACAAAGAATTAAAACAAGGAAGATCCACAAGACTTGTAAACAAGGTTGACCCACAAAAAACTGCAGAACCTGACACGCCAACAAAAGTTATCCCACCAGATTATCACCGCCGTGAATCTTCTATACTGAAGATAGATGACTTCCGTAGGAATTCTCAAGGCAAGAACAATCGACCCCAAAATGGTACACAGCCAGGACACCAGCGAAGCAGTTCCGAGGATTCTCAGAGTATGCAGACTATACCCATTATCAAGGTGAGCCATTTTATATTGAATTTAATCTTTTAATGATGGAATTTAGACCTCTGGTTTGGTATACTGAAAATAAGTGGGCGATTTAGGTGTCTTAGGGGTCATCTGCTAACCAGTTGACAATATCAGAATTGTTGCTGCAGACTTCGAAACAAATTTTCATTCATGCTGAGAACATTGTTGGGTAATTGAAGATGAAGCCCAAGTCTATATTCACTATTCATCTGATGACTCACATCTGTGAATACAGTGATGTAATATGAAGGGCACGAGTGGCATCATAGGTTGTATGATCATTATAAAATTATAACCCTGACTCCACAAGGGAGGAGATAATTTTTATTCTTTTACTATTTTAGATTAGCAAGGAGGATAGTGTGGAGAGATCTCTACAACAAGCTAAGTTGGAGAGGCAGGAAAAGATGCAAGAAGACCCATGCACTACGAGTGACCAACAATCGCTGAACAACAAAGACACTGTATCTTTCTTTCCAGCTGAAAGAATGGGTGAAGAATTGGTAAAAATGAAAAATAACCAGCCAAAGATATCTCGACAAAAGCATTCAAAGACCAAGTCTGTACCAAAAGAAACTGACTTGGATGATCCTTACATTTTGGATTATGGTGATCCAAACCAGACTTCTGACACTGCTGCCCTGCTGGGAAATGGCAAAATGTACAAGGAAAATGTTAAACAAAAGGCAGCAACGGAAGTTGCTCTAAGTTCAGGGACTCTCAGTTCAGACGAGGACGCGACACTCTTAGATTAGTGATGATAGCTGTCCAAGATCTAAATTTTAAATTTATTTAAATGTTTAATAGATTCGGTAAATGGTCAGGACCTATTAGAAATGTCTGAAGTTAGTGGTTAGGGTGTGTGTATATGTATGTATGTGTGTATTACACACACACACACAGGTATATGACATACAACAATCATTCATTAATGTTGGTGTTAAACTCAGCGCGCAGTTTGAAACAAACCCAAAGTAAATCGGATAAAAATTGAATTTTATACAAATACAGTATCCACTCAATTTAACGACCTCTTTTATACCGATCTGCCGGTAATAACGACCGGTTTGGGAGATCGGATTCTGGAGCCTCGTATACCGGTCTGGTGGTCGATATTACCGATGGTCGGTATTGGGTTTGTTTTGGCATCGCCAGCCCCTCACATGGCGACCAAGCCACCGACCTCGATCATCCAGAGTGGTATATTAAATCTTAACTTTCTTTTAAAATGAATCAGTTTTATTAAGAAAATTCTAAATTATTGTTAATAAAATATTTTAAAACAATTGTTATTAAGCAAAATTCTTTGTTTTCTTATTAAATACCTTTTATAGTATAGGCAATAGGTATTTATTTTCCCACGGACCTAGAATGTACTGCGCCTGGCCATGTGACCGCATTGTTTGCTGTGAACTCGCGTGGCTGAGAGCAATGTCTCAGAATATTAGCCAGAGAAAATTAGATTCAGACAAAAATAGATAAATTCATGATTTCAATGATTCGTGAAAGTACCCTCTGGGAATTCAACAAGTCGTGCAGCCTCCGCCAGCAACAAATGCTCTGCAAGCTATGCTGCACCCGCTGATGCTGAATTCCCATCGATAAGTTGTGCAGCCTCCACCTGGAACGAATTCTCTGCAAGCCATGTTGCACCCGCTGATGCTGAATTCCCATCAAAAGTCGTGTAGCCTCCACTAACGATATAACATATGATGAAAGGCATATAAATTAGTGTAAGAAGTGTTGATAGAGTACAGTATTGTAAGTGTTAATGATTATTTAAGCCTTGACAAAAAGATACTGTACAGTCTATATATACAGTAGAAATAATTTTCAATTGTGAATTAGAATTAGAACTCATGTGAATTAGTAGTAAGGCTAGCTGTTGTGTGAAGTGAATGCCTGAAAATAAGTGTACATACTGTATGTACCCTGTAATCAGTACTGAATCTTACTCATTGGTGTATTTTATAATGATAAGTGTAATCCTCTAATATTTAACAAGTTTCATTTGTTCCTCCCAAAAAATAATCCAGGTTATTTCAATACATATAATGTGCTTTGTTATAGACCAACACGTATAAATATACAGTACTGTATATAAATTAAATCTTTTGCTTTTTTTTTTACTGTATCTTAAATTAACTATCTCGTACACATTTGTTTCACAAATAGTATTTCATAAATAAAATGCTTAGTTTCATCCCTATTTCCATCCCCCCTTACAAGTAAGGAAAGGAGGAGGAAGGTGAGTATCAGAGCTAACGACTGAAAAGAGTGGAACCAGTTTGTTCGCGAGAAACCCAGGATTTACCAGGTCAGAACCATGGAAACGAAGGACGAGCAAAATAGCTAGAACAAATTTACCAGCAATCTTACAAATTTACTTTTGATGGAGAGAAGTGTCAATTGCAATGATTATCTTGAGATGATTTCAGGGCTTAGCGTCCCCACGGCCTGGTCCTCAACCAGGCCTCTTTTTTTTGTTACACACCTCCAGGAAGTGGCTCATAGCAGCTGTCTAACTCCCAGGTACAGTACCTATTTACTGTTAGGTAACAGAGGCTTCAGGGTGAAAGAAACTCTGCCCATTTGTTTCTGCCTCCACCGGGGATTGAACCTGGAACCTCAGGACTACAAATCCGAAGTGCTTCCATTCGGCTCTCAGGCCCCTCCCCTATTCTATGGTGGAGACATAGATCTCCAACTCTCCCATTTTGTTGTACAGAAGGCCCTATGGGCCACCGCACATGTCTTTTTCTAGACTGCACACTTACAGCGTATACCCTGAGCACAGTGAATTCCACCATTTCCACGAGCTACGAGAGAGGCACGGCGAGGAATAGATGAGGGAGGAGGGGGGGCAATATTCAATAAGGTCTTGTGAAAAAGGAGGGGGAAGTGGGGGGGGGGGGGGGGGGGGTGCCAGAGTGGCAGATTGAATAGGTTGGTAAGAGCATAGAGGGTGACAAGATTCCAGTCCGCCTTATCAAACCTCCACCAAAGGAACGAGAGAGGTGGAAAGAAGTGTGTTACGAGAATGGGGTAATGGTCACTGTTATGGAGGTTATCCAGGACCCTCTATCCCACGTCTATATAAATGGAGAATGAGCAGAGGCAAAGATGAAAAGATTGCACAGGAAAGGGTGCAAGTGTGAGTCAACACAAACTGGCTCGACAGACTTTAGGAGAAACAATGGAGAAAAAGAGGACGAAAGGTTCCAAGAGATGGCCTCGGGTATTCATCAGCTTCACCCCAGAGGACATGTTGACAGTTATGATCACACAAAAGAAGTGCAGGCTCCAGAAATTAGTCCAAGAGGTAACTAAGATCAAGAATTGAAAGAACATGCAGGGGAATAAAAATGGAACAAGTGTGCCATTAACCTATAAATATACGAGCTGCAGAAGAATGAACTGTTGACTAAAGTTGAGGGACAAAGGGAAAATCATTCCAGATCAAGAAATCATTAGTTAGGAGTCTCAGTAAAAGCAGCAGGGGAGGAAAGAAAAGCATAACTAAAGTGACCAGGACGACTGCCAAGCATTGGCTCCTGGAGACTGGCACAAAGCAGCGAAAATTGGAAATTCAGAAGTTGTTCTGGAAAATTTGCAAAGAAACTTTAAATATTCCACTGAAAAATAAACAGAGTAAGGACCAGAGGTCAAGAAAAAGACAAATAAAGGAAAAAAACTAAGGCAAAGGACACACAAAACTAGGGAAAACGTGCAGTGAAGTTAGGAGGAAGGGGCCAGAGGTAAATCCAGCAAAGAACATAGTTGAGAGGTTAAAATACCAATGGGGTATGGAGAGGGAGGCAGCGCCACACAAGGGGCGGTCGAGGGAGGGTGGGCGAACAATGACAAACGGTAGTAGGTACTATCAGAAGATACCTGCTACCTATCTACAAGTAGTGATATCTATATTTTTACATATTTTTGCTATAAATGCTAAAATTTTATAATTGCCAACAATGAAACAATAAGCTAAAAACAGATTTGTTAAGTTAATTAATGATGGTAATCATCCAAATATCACAATTTTGGTACAGAATACTGTAATGGAGAACAATTTAAATTTAAGATATTCTGATACATCATACAGTACACAAACTGCAAAACACTGGGAAAGATCCATTTGGTATGAATCTAGTAATGAGTTCAGACGTATTTCCCATTTAGGGCAATGCATGATCAATTTGAAAGGCATCAAGGACTTGGGAAAAGAAGAACAGGGTAAAAATTTTCACAGAAAACCTGTAAAATTTAACATTTACTATTGAAGCTTTAAATTCTAGGGGTTTTAGAAGTATAATCATAAATAAATATAGTATTCCATAAACAATGATAATTAATGAATCATACACTTACAGTACAGTATTACAGTTAAAAAAGGTTAATGTTAAATTATTCATAGATTTGATATATGCTACCTTCTGCTATATATCTGACATTTAAATATTATATTCCTGTAAAATGTAGATGATTAACAATTGTCATAAAAAATTCAAGAATAGTAACAAATGTTTTATCATCATTGCTTAGAACATGCAAAATATTCTATAATAATGACTAAATATTGCAGGTGAAATTGACTGAAACACTTAGGCAACACCAACATATTAATTTTAAAGTCCACTTTTTCATCTAAATTTCATTTTCACCCTTGTGTGCACTATTTTGCTCTGTAACAGAGCCAAGCATTATGAACACCTGTCATTTTGTTATCTTAAAACATCACTTTACACCTGTCAAATGTATACTGGATACAATTATTCTAAGGAGCAGAAAAATGAAATCTTAACTTTTGCCATAAAAAAACTGCTCAGTCTCGCTTACCTACAGACAACAATCTTGCCTCGATATCTGAACACACGTTCTCCATCAGGAAGTCACTGGAATTAATCTTGTCTTGACCATTTCCATTTCACACACTTCTGCATCCTAGGAAATTAAATGGTTGTTTTCTCACACTGATAATTGTATCAGTTGAGTGCACAACATACCACATATTGGAACAGGTTAGGTTCCAAAAGAAGCATATTACATCATGTTTTTCCAGGCTATTCTAATTACCAATCTTGTGTAAGATGTTTTGTAATCTACATTTAGGTACAGTAATGTGATTTTTAGAATTCAAAATCGTTCCAACTGGTGGAAATGATGACACAATAACAGATGTACATATTGAAGTGATTAAAGAAATGGTTAAGAATAAACAGTACTATATTAAGGTCATGAAGTTAAATGTATTATTAAACTAGAAGCTGTGTGAAGTATAAAACATATTTAAGAAAACAGAATTTAAAATGGTTGATACATAGAAACAAAGTTAGAATTAAACTTATTAAGAAACAAAGTTTCATTATTTCAATTTTACTTTGCTCTTTTGTAGGATGATAGAGGAAAAAGAGAGAGGCATGAGATTTGTTATAACAAGAATTTGACAGGAAGCCACTAACCACTCGGGCGGCTGCTACTTCTGCATGGTGGACCCTTCCAAACTTCAGATTGGCAAGAATACACCTGTTATCACATCTCTGGACCTTCCTTCATCCATCACCTTGGTGCCACACTGCTGAGCTCCCCATACCCATTCTTCCAGTGAGTGCAGCTGTCTTCTGAAGAGAGCAGCAAGTCTGGGAGCGGGGAAGATGTTGTAGATCCAGATGACAATTTCAGAAGTGTAGCTGAGGAGAGAAACCCATACTTCCCAAACCAAAAAGACCTCAATGACTTAATTAACAATGTTGCTCTCACCAAGTTCTGTGCTGAGCTTTTGACTTCTAGGCTCAGGCAGTGGAACTTGTTGGATGAAAGTGTACGTCGCAGATCACAGGAAACATAAATCTTAAAAACTACTAGCTTCTAAATCTGTTGTGGTAATTTTTGTGTAACTTTAGTATAAATACATGTTAATTTGATTCATTTGTTGCTTTTTCAGACTATGTGAACAAAAAAGATGAAAATTCAAGTTTTCTCATTGGAGCGACGTATTTCAAAAGAATCCCTGTCCTAGTTACACAAGCAAAGTTTGAGTGAAAAAATAATTTCTGTACTGTTTAGGCATAAGCAATTAGGTAATAAAATAACCCAGGAACAAAAATGTTTACATTGTGTTATTTGGATGTCTAAATATGCTGAAACGTGTAGTGTTACCATTTGCTAAAGAAAAATCTGTACAATTTCATTAGCCCCCCCCCCAAAAAAGCGGCAATCTTTCAGATGTCCACACAATGTCTGAAATGATTCAGTCCACATTTTTGAGTGTGCACTGTATTTTTCCATTTGTATCTCTCTCTTCCTCTCCCCTGAATTGAGTGTTTTCCTTCCTTGACGTGTTTTTATCAGTGCAAGTGCATAGTAGCTGTTGCAGCTAAATATTAGATACAGCAGTGAGAAATGTTTTTCATAGTTAAAAAACTCGCCTTTACACTTGGACAGTTAATGAATCGGAGGCCTGCAAAGTGCTGTTTGTGGCCTCTTCAGGAAAAATTCTCAGAAAGACAGCGTCACTGAGACAAAGCCAATATTTTTGCAAATAAACTTGCGAGTCAAAATAAGTTTTGCAATACTGCAAGGTAAAGTGTGTACACTCACTGGAGTGCTTATTTACAGCTTCACTTTAGGATACTTCAAAACTACTATGCAGAAATTTGAAAGGTCTTTATTCAGCATACACCTTAAAAAATTGAAAAAAAAGTTTAACAATTAGGTATGCCGAACGAAACAAATTAAAGATCCAATGACTAACTCATTCCTCCTTAATTTACCATTACCTGTCTTTGTTTGCAAACACTCAAAATGTCTGGTAGCCTAAAGACCCTCTCAAATATTTACCCATCAAACTGCATGGATACAGAGGTATCAAAACATATTATGTTGGAAAGCTTAACATCAAGAGGAAGTAATGCAGAAGATGTGATCAGCAAAATAACTTCCTTTACAAATTTCATTGATTACATTGGTCAATTACAGCATAATTTTTCTTAAGAGAGATAACAATGAAATAAAAACAGTAGAATCCTTTAATATAAAGCAGTTCCAAGTTTTGCATACGTTTCCAACATTAACAAGTAACAGTCCTTCCTTTCCAAGAAAAATAAATATTTAACAAAACCTATAAGCTCCTTACACAATTAATAAACAAAGCTTTATAAAGCAATAAAGCATTCACACAGACTTGGGTTACCAAATTAAAATGTGAAGCCAAACAACTCAGGTTGCATGGTGTAAGCCTTGTGAATACAGCAAGCTACGATCTGCTTCACTTTACTTCTTCTTGTTCACAATAGGCTGCATAATTTGGCCTTTGTCCTTCCCCCTCAGGCGTAGCCCTGAAAATGTTTAGTATGAATCATGTCAATTTTCAGTACGAGTTTCTTTTTTTCTTCCCATCACAAGATCTTTCAAACTGATTGATGAAAGGTCAGGGGCTTAAACCTAGAATATTAATTTACCAAGCAGAGACAATCTAGCGATATTAATAAAATTAAATTAGTTACATTAATCTGCAGGTCTCTCCAACTTATAAAAGGAAACAAGGCCCCAATTGACTCAAGACACTTCCAAAAAGAGTTTAAAATGCTACTTCACCAACAAGCATGGATTAACACACACAATGAACATCGTTATTACCCACCTTCCCAGTTTAATGGAATGGGAAGGCAAAAGCACGGAGTAAAACTTGAAAACAATGCTATATACTGAAATAACAGTACAGATATTAAAAAATGCATCACTCATCCTTCATTCATTATATAATTCACACTATAATTCATTATAGTGTGAATTATATACATCATTATGTACATAAGTACATTATATACGTCAGGCTGCGAGCAGCCGCGTCTAACAGCATGGTTGATCAGTCCAGCAACCAGGAGGCCTGGTCGAAGACCGGGCCGCGGGGACACTAAGCCCCGGAAGCACCTCAAGGTAACCTCAAGGTAAGGTAGTGTGAATCATTCATTTATTATATAATTCACACATCACATGAAGAAACACCAACATCAGCAAAAATCTACAACAGCATCCTGCATCTCCACAAGCCCAAATGTACAGTGCTACTCATGAATTGTCATGAGGAAGATAAACAAATGCATGAATGCTATCTAAACAAACTGCTTACACCCACCCTTGCTATATCCCGTGTTGTACACGTTCAATTTAATTTTCCAACACACGCACTCACCGTTCTGCCATTCTTCCTTCCATCTACCCTCAAATTCACATAAATACTTACTCATTTTCAGTCTACCATAACATTCATTTGTTCAACATGCTCAAAACCATCGCTCAGTCGGTTCTTAATAATTTTGTGGTTTGTTAACTCCCTCTCACTTGCCATCTCTCAAAGACATTTTCATTCTATAATTTATTTTTTAAATGCACACGATTCTCAGACTATTCAATTCTACTGCTTTAAATCTTGATATTTCACATTCCAACCAAACCACCATTTCACATGTGTTCATAAGGGTCAACACTAGGCAAGTAACACTCCTTCATGTACTCCCGACATCATCTATTTCTACCTTAATTTTCCAATCAGAACATTCATTGCAATATAAAAGAATCAAAACTATCAAAATATGTACTCGCCTCCTCACTTTTCTGTGCTTGGGCATATGAACTTAACATATAATAACCGAGTATTACTGCCAAATTATTTTGGCCGTATTATTGCCAAATAATGCCAAACAAGATCCAGATATAGACATAGCCCCTCACCCCAACCAACAAAGTCCATTGCCTTCCTCATGCATTTATAGCCAAAGTGCAAGCCAACACTCACCTATAGCCCTCTCAATTTTTCCGAGGACATTCTGATTTGGCACTGCCTTACCCTGTTCATACTCTTGGATCACCTGTGGCTTCTCATTAATACGCTACAAGAAAGCAAAATAGCAAAATTAGTGAAATTACACATAAAAAGAAGTCCAATGTGTATTTGTAATTGCCTATGAATGCATGTGTGTGCACGCACAAGTGAAATAGCAGATACAGTATTGAATGTGATCAAAATTGTTCCCAGTACTAAATGGGTCAAATGTTACAATGAAAGTACTTCCTAATTTAATGTAATTTTAATATTTGCCTATAAAGTAGCTGTGATGGGAGGGTGGGGGAGGTGCACAGGCAGAGTGCACTGGATTCTAAATTTGTCAATTCTTGGATAAATCCTATTGAGTATAAATAAAATATAACTGGTATCCATCCTGGATGTTACAAACTACTATGACTTAAGAAAAAAGTGGGGTCAGAGCAGACTCCCAACCATTTTGACCACCAGTATTGATATTGGCAAGGTTCCAGCTTACATTTTCGGAACAGCCTATTAGAAAGAAGCCAGAAAAAGTGCTCGCCTTATATTGGCCAATACATAGCTAGGGTTGCGCATCTAAAGAAGGCAGCCATCAGGGAGGAGGAGAGAGTAAAGAAGTCATTCTAAGTTAGCCAGTAACATGCTCAGGTTATGTATAATTTCTTCTTATCAGCCAGTTGGTGAAATCACTGCACAAAGGTGCTCAGCAATGTTAACTATTAGTTACTTACTAAAATTAATATACGAATAAAATTAGAATCATTATTTACAGTTGAAGCGAGAATACTTCAAAATTTAAAGGGACTTCAAAACAAAGGTCTTATCTAATAAATGATGATAGTGCTATTCATACTTAATAAATGTGATTAGGACCTCCAAGACTCTCCAGACCTAAGTGTTGTGCCGGAGATTTGCATGATCTAGTAGAACCATGATCTCTGGAACACCTGTCTGAGGGAAGCATCCACTGCAAGGCCCAACATCAGTGAGTTGATCTAAGATCATGTGCTGCTGCTTTAGCATCTACATATAGTACTTCTTAGATAACCTTTGCAAGCAGTCAGCCCTGGGCAACATTGCAAGCTGATGTAGTTGGACAAAATTGAATCCTACTGTACCATTACAACAGCATTCTTAGGACATACAACTGTTTAGCACTGCAATGCAGTAAATAAGCAATAAACCTTCCTTGTTCATTACTTTCACAAAGATAGAAAGGGAGGACAGTATAATTAGATCAAATTAGCAGTCTTGTGATGTAAAACATTGAATTTTTGAGAGATGAATACACAAATCTATCTTTAAAAAATCACTATCATTGATGGTATCATAAATGGTGGCTATGTGCAGTGAACTTTGGATTTAAGCAAAGTATCGTATTTCTATTTCAGATTAACATGAAAATTTAAGTTAGGAATACTATACATACAGTACATACAGACATACATACAGAATATATGAGCAAAATAGAGATGCATTTCAGAGGCTTCAAAATCAATATTTCATCTATTCCTATTAAAAAAAAACATCATCCAAAAATTATAGTGCACGTAATGACAGTGGATGAAATGTTCAAAATTTGGAGTGTTGCACCCAAAGAATATAAGGGTAAAGTTTTGTACAAATGGTATAATAAAGGACACAACAAAAACTACAACAACTTACCTTAACCTGCCTTGACCTAAATAAGCATAATCTTAGGCATAATAATGTATGTGTGTACCTAGGAAATGTTAGGCTTAGTTGCTGCTCCTTTCTCAACCCTTCTATAAATTGCACAATCCCCATTTGCATGCATTTCATAGTTTGTACTTTACATCCACAGAGTGAAGTGTTGTGTGGATGGATGGATATATACCTGGATACCTGCTGGCTGGGGGTCTTGGGAGTTCTTCTATTCTCCAAGCCCGGCCTGGGGCCAGGCTCAACTTGTGAGAGCTTGGTCCAACAGGCTGTTACTTTGAGTGGCCTGCAGGCCCACATATCCATCACAGCCCGGTTGGTCTGGCACTTTTCGAAGAAAACTATCTAGTTTTCTCTTGACGATGTCCACGTTTGTTGAGGCAATATTTCTGATACTCACTGGGAGTATGTTGAACAGCCATGGACCTCTTGATGTTTATACAGTGTTCTCTGATTGTGCCTATGGCACCCATGCTCTTCACTGGTTCTATTCTGCATTTTCTTCCATATAGTTCACTCTAGTATGTTATTTTACAGTGTAGATTTGGGACCTGGCCCTCCAGTATTTTCCACGTGTATATTATTTTCTCTCTTTCTCTCATCTCCTTTCTAGTGAGTACATTTGGAGAGCTTTGAGACGATCCCAATAATTTAGGATATGAGCTGTGAATGTCTCTAGCCTCTCTTGAGACCTAAAGGAGCATTTAAGCAGAAAGAGCAACCATAGAAATTTATAATAATCATTAAACTCGGAATGCATCAACAACAAAGTGTTTATGGTAAGATGGATAATGGTTCTACAGGTGTCAAGAGGGTTACACTCACAGTAGCAAGGTCCTTTTGAGTCCAATTTTTAGCCTGACGACCCTGCTGGATGAGTCTACCCACATCTGGCGTTATCTTCTCATGCTTGAGCTCCTCTGTCTCCCTGTCAAGCTTGGCTGTGTTCATAGATGTACCATGCTGCTTATTGCTTGCAGCTCCATCTGTGCATAACATTAGTATGCATTTAGTCAAAGTTTAGACAACTAATAAATGTACAAAGTTAAATCATTTAATTATTTACATTCTGAAGTACTGTAGTGTATGAGAGGAGGTGGAAGAAGACAAGAAAAAGTACATTAAAACAGAGGACTAGAAGGAATGAGTGAACAGGGAAGAAATGGTAAAATGTAGTTAGGAGTTGGGGAATGTGAACTAAATGGGTGAGAAGGTGGAAAAGGTGAGAGGAAGGAAAAGGTGAGAGGGAGGAAAAGATGCTTCAAAAAGAGGATAAGGAGGAGAAAGGGGAAGGAGGAAAAGAAAGGAAGAGAGGGGAAAAAGAGGCAGAATGAAGGCAAAATAAGGTGAGGGGAAGGTGAGGCAGAAATAAAAATAAGGAAAGGTACACCTAGACACATGATTCCATGATTATGGGACCTTTTTCCCCAATGATAACAGAGCTTCAGTTGCAATCACACTGGGATACACCTATCAATGACTTGTGCTCTTTTTTTTTTTCCCCACTGCTACTCCATGATGGATATCATATACTGTACACTATCCACTGGAAGTTGTAGTGCCAAACATAAGTAATTCCTACAGAAACTGTTATAAACATGCAAGAAGGTACAAGGTGCTAGACTGGTAAGGAGTTTTGCTGCAAACTTGGGAGCACAGCCCATCTACTGTATGGTTCGGTAAGCTCAACACACTCGTGAGGTTGTGTGATTCAACCAGTCTGCATCATATTTTATGTAAAATTCAGGCTTTTGAGGAAATGGATGAAACAAATTTTAACTTAATGCATGTACTGTAACTATTTTTTGAATACGAGTGTGTTCTTGGCTGAGAAACTATTACAGTATGTCCAATGAATTAACATATGCAAGGGCTTAAGTATCGTAGGAAAGAAAGTGCACTTGAATCTATAAAGAAAGAATACTAGTACTGTACTTGCATTTTGAGCTGGTTTCTATTTGGGCTCCACTTCGTCTTGCTTGATTCACAGCCTTAAAAAAAAAAAAAATACTATTAAACACTGATGGGTATTAATTAACAAAAACAATAAATAAGTTTTCATAATTACACAAGTTGCTGCAATAATAATCAGTTAAATAAGAGATAAAAACCGAGCAGTGGCTCACATACACACACACCCTAAGAATGTGGAACGCTATTAAGACTAAAGAATGAGAAGCTTGAAAAGACAGTACAGTACAATAGGGATCAGAAAGACTTCCCAGTTAAAGCACTGATCCACCAGAAACCTCCGAACTCCGTTGCAATCAACAATACTGGAATCTCCCAAACAACGATATGAAATTGCACTAATGCCAGAGACCACTGTTCCACAGGGTAATGGCTGGAGACATAGCTTGAGCCCATGTGATACACATCAGTAAACAGATGCAGCTGATAAGTCACAATAACATTAGACACCCAACCCAAAAATCCTAGAGCATTATAAAGTAAGTAAGTCAAGTAATGGAGGTAGAAGCCCCCACAGAACAAAGGAGACATCCAAAGAAGAAGATCTTTTAAGGTAAGGGGTAGCTTGCTTAACCCCTGCACTGAGTATGGTCAACAAACATTGAACATGGTTAAGGCGCTCAACGAGTGGTGTAAAAAAAAATTAATTTAGCAATATTTTAATTTTTTTAATTTTCTTTTCCACTCTGTGATTCAAAATGAAAATGGTTGTTTGGCTATATTTTGATAGTTTTCATATTTTTTAAATTATGAGGTTGATGTTAATTCATTAACCCCAGCACCAAAAAGTTACCACATGAAACAGGCACTGTACAGGGGTTAACACAATCTCAGCAAAAGTATCAGAATGAAGAAACTGAAACAGTCAGATGTCTCAAAGAAAGTACATGATGGATAAAAGCAAAATTGAGACTGCCGATATGAAGAAGAAGAAACGGTTTGGCACATTTCCTTTCACTTAATGCCAGTGCTCAACTAGTAGTAAATAGGTGCTCGGGAGTTCGGCAACTGTTGTGCAGTTGGACCGGGAGGAGTATGTAATTTGACCTCGGAGGGACGTCAGTACAAGCCTACCTCTAGTCTACCTCTTGTTGCCTCTGAAAACCAATGAACTAACAACCAGGCAGCTAGACATTTTCTCTACTCGACAAAACAAATCATTTCACTGTTCTGATAAGGATTTATAATCCAAATGTGCAAAAATAGTGGCCTATGTACTTGTCAATTCTAAACTATGTTACCCCAGTCTCTACACAGCCAAATATAACCTAGCATATCAATTAGTCAAGAAATGCAGGACTAACTCGAAGTGACATTTTGGCCTTGTACTTTCAAATGCTTTCAAGAGTTTGGTATTATCTGAATATCAACATGGAATAAGAAACTAAGAAACCAGCCCAAGACACCTACACACGTCTCTAAGAGGCCATCAAGGAGCAGGTTGTCAGGACAAGTTAACCAATAAAGCCATTACTTGAATACAATTTCTTGACGTGTTGAAGTAGCTTAGGATATACTGTATTAGAATAGTCAGTTGTAGCATAGGAGCGAGTTGAATTAGAGTTTACTTGAGCAGAAAGAGAGCAATGAGTTATCATGTGACGAGGCATATAGGAGGAAGTGTAGGGGGAGCAGCACTGCCCAACCACCTAAGTGTCTCTCCTTCTTCTCCCACAGTGTCATAACCCAGTGCCAAGAGCTGGGAGCGAGGGGTGCCATGGGAGGCTGTGGCTGGCCGAGGCCACCATGCCAGGAGTCCTGGACCTTCTCCCACGCACCTTATTATCTCCCTCCACGCCGCCCTCGCCACACACACACTACCTGCTCGCTCTTCAGCTGTGAAGACTTTTGAGGCTTCTTGCGAAGTACTGTCACCGAGTCCCATTCACTGTCCGTCATAATTGGCTGTTTGGGAGAATGTTCTGGAGGAGGTGAAGTATAATAGTGTGAGGTGGGTCAGGCCGTCCCTACTGTCTGCTCCTCCACGCTGCGCTATGGTCTTCACTATTACGCCCAATATACGCCTTCCCTCGCTTGTATATCCTTCCTAAATATTTAATGAGTGCGTAGTTGTCACGAGAAATCATATAGAACCTTTATTCAAATAATAAACATTATAAAATTAGGACGAAAGGCTTTCTTTTATAGTTATGTGTGGGTTAAAGAGAACGAAAGATATGTGTTGAGGGGGAACTTGTATACTTTTCCTCAGTTTTCATTCCTTGTATTATTGCATCATAATTTGAAATATATTTGTATTCAACAAATATTAAATGGTATTAATCAGACAAAAGATATATTTTTTTAAATATAAACACTTGGCAAATATATAAGTTTTTACCTAGAATATGAAAGGAAGAACGCTTTTTAAATGGATAGATTAAAGCAGCATATGCTATATATAAAATAATTTCCAGCATCAGATGGTGCAATCACTTTTCCACTCCTTTGAAAGTTCAATGTTATCAGATTATGCTATCATTTTCGGTGGGGTTAGATTCAAATGAAGGTTGACGAATGCAGCTGCGATTGGTGAAAGAAAGAATCATTGAACATTGCTTATATTTATTTATTGATAGATATACAAGAAGGTACATTGGGGGATACATAGCATAGTAATTACATTCTTGTAAAGCCACTAGTACGCGCAGCGTTTCGGGCAGGTCCTTATTCTAAGACAATTTTAAGTAGGCTGAAGGCCTATATATATTCGAACCCCAGTTGGAAACAGACCCAACTATAGGATGGGTTAACCCAAGTATCGCGCTTCCAAAAGGGTCGCCCAAGATGGAAAAGACGAACGCTGAAAGAATATTGTTGAAAACATCTTGATAACTGATTAAACCAAAATTATTTATTAGTCAGAAGAAAGACAGAAACGCGATCTATATGTAAAACCTCTACCAGACAAATATTTTAAGTAAAACCGAAGATATTTGTAGTTGTATAAAAGTGGCAGTTTTCATCGCTCGTTAAACTCGAAAACCGCAGCATTCATCTCAGAACCATGCCTATTTCACGCAGATTCCTTAATAAACGTAAGAGTTTTATATGTCACAAGAAAGACAGATATATAAGCTTCGTTCTAAATACCTTACCATGGGCATATTTAAATTTAAAGCGAAGATACGTGTACTTTTATAATAGCCGAGCTCTGACTCCGGACAGATCGATCGACGGAGCAACTCTCTCTCAGAACAATGCTTATTTCACGTAAATTTGCAAATAATCGTAAATTTTTTATATGCCTCAAGAAAGATAGGAATATAAGGCTCATTTTAAACACTTTATCATAGACATAATTAAAGTTCTAATGAAGATTCATGTATTTTAATAATCGCCGAGCTCCGACCCCCGCATAGACTGAGCGACAGAGCAACTCTCTCAGAAGAATGTTTATTTTACGTAAATTCGTTAATAAACACAAATGTTTTACACGTCTTAAGAAAGATAGAAATATAAGCTTTATTTTAAATACATTACATTAGACATATTTAAAGCTCAAGTGAAGATATATATGTTTTTATAGTGGCGTTCAGTAGCTTTTCGGTCATGGAGTGCAGACGCCTACGCACTTGCCAATATGTTGTGTAATTAACAAAGATACGCTAATAAAGCCTAAAATATTACATGCTTCCAGAAAGACAGAGCTATAATCGTTATTGTGAGTGCATCAAAGGAAATATATCATGTTGGAGACCAATGATATAGCAATTTTAATTTAAGTTTCGAGTCCCGCCCGGTCGAGAGAGATAGGGCGACTCTCGCCCCATCTATTGGAGATTCTGTCCACTAAAGACCCAAAGCTACTCAAACCTTCCTAGCATTACGTAAGCAATGAAGTAATATGGTATATTTACTCACTATAATGTGGATGCTGGATGCAGAAAATGAGAAAACATAATTTTACTCTGAAAAAATATCATTTCATAACAAAATAAGATGTAAATATCTAAAAAAGTTTCAAAAACTGTGGGCATTCTTTCTAAGATCAGATATTTTGTACCACGCCCTGCCCTGGTGACTCTCTATTACTCCCTTATCTATCCATATCTCAACTATGGTATTTGTGCTTGGGGCTCTACTACCCAAAATCATTTACGTCCTCTAATTACTCAACACAAAGCTGCTATTAGGACAATATCCAATTCTGGCCCCAGACATCACTCGGTACCCCTATTCAAATCCCTGAATATGTTAGACATTAAGTCACTGCACATTCTCTCATGTGTACTATACATATACAAAACGCTAAATTGTAATGCCAATCCTGATCTCAAAAGCTTCATTGAAGGTTGTAACAGAACCCATGAGCATCACACCAGAAATAAATACAGTTTTGATATTCCTAGAGTACGACTTAATCAAACCAGAAATGCTCTACAAATCAAGGGGCCCAGAATGTGGAATGACCTTCCCAACCATGTTAAAGACAGTACCTCTCTCAACCAGTTTAAGATAAAAACTAAACACTACCTAATAAATTCCCTGTAACCTACCTCACTCCTCTATTGTCAACCCATGTCCGTTATTTTCTTTTTTTAATCAACACTGTTTGTCAACCTATTGTATTTGTGCTGCTTTTTCAGTCATGTTCCCCCTTTTTTTTATCTTTATTTGTATTTGTTCTCAACACTTTTTATTCTTTATGCTCAATTAGTATTAAGTTCTAGATATTAATGTTTTTCTTGCCCGAAACGCATTGCGTAATAGTGGCTTTAGGCATTGTATGTACTAGCTCTATCTATATATCAATCCATTAATGTAACATCACTTGTATGTATATACCTTACCTGAATAAACATCTGAAACCTGAATATCAAAGGAAGTCGATGGTCCAAGCAACAATATCGTGGAGCGACTTATCCAAGATATATTGCTCTCTGGAAAGTGTTTGCTGGCATATCAACCTTCTGTACACAGTGATCCAGTCGTCGAACTTCTCTGCTCAAATTATCGCAAATTTAATTTATGATGTTAACAAGTAGAATGCGTATTTTTAATCAAATCTAACGATATTAACAAGTAGAATGCGTATTTTTAATCAAATCTAACATAACTAGCCAGAAAACGTTAAAGATTATTTAAAAATACATGGTTGGAAGTTAAATCAACTCCATAGAACAATATTTTTGTTATAGATACTAATCGTTATTTGTTGGTATGCGTTCGCTACTTAAACTATCATGTACTGTATTTATGTAAAATCACCCTGTTTCTTCGGACATGGAACACGGAACCTTACACGCTCTCTGATTTACTGTTTAATAGAGATTCACAAATAAGCTTATGATTGTATACGTTATCAAAAAGGCAGTGACAAAGTCAATTTTGCATTTTAATCACAGAGATTAGATCTTAGTGAGATAGGAAAGATATTCATATTTTAAAGAAGGATTTTTAAACCATCGCTCTCCCTATCGATAGAAACTAACTTTTTTTTGTTATTATTAACAAGCTTAGGTATACACAGTAATGTGCTGCTACCCTATTCTATATGAAAGATTACACAGTGTATATCAAAAACTAGCTATAAGTTCATTAAATATTCCCATCTCACAGGATGGTTAGTTACACATGGAATCAGGGGATAAAATACCAGCCTCAATAAAAAAAAAATCAATTGTGACTAACAAGAACACCACTTACGGGCTATTCATGCCCGTGCTACCTTTTGGGTGGCTTAATCCTCAGCAATCAATCACAAGAAACAAGGGATACATCTCCCGTCACGCAGGGTCCAGTCGCACCTCCACAGATCTCCAGTATCATCTATTGATACTGTTAATGGTTCAAGAGGACTACCACTTACGGGCCTACCTCAAGGTAACAATCAGGTGAGAACATAAAATATAAGGCTGATCTATTAGCCTCCGTTAGCAAAATCCGGGTACTGCATAAGAATATCTTCCAATATTCCTAAGTGTATGAAGTAATTACAGAGTTCAAAGTACCTTATACCATTTGGTCTGAAGTCACTTATAACAGGGCAATCACAGATATAGTGTTGGTGAGTATGTCCCAGCTCTTGTTCACATAGTTTACAATTGGAATATTTACCATTGGGGGCTATTCATTACCTGCAGCCACCTGCGATACATATCGATATCCTAGCCTAATTCTGGCAATTACAATGTCACACTGTCATTGTGACACTAGTGGAAGTTTTATGCTGTCCGTTCATATAATTCTCGATTCTAAATATGTTTACTTAGTTTAGTTCATTAATTATGCACCCCATATATCATCTTGTGGGCGGTAGTGGAAAAGGTTACAGAGGCACATAAACATGTCATAGCTCTTTATACTCTTGCTTTCTGGCTTTTGTGTGTCAGTGACTGCTCTTCTGTCTTCCCTAATTTCCTAAAATATTGCGGCTTTGACAGAAGAGATTGGAATGCCCATATCCCACTCAACTTCAGGCTTATCACATTCAGTTTTAGCTGCCTTGTTTGTGTCATCATGCTGGACAACACCTATATGAGAAGGTATCCATACAAATGAGACTTTGAAACTCCTACTGTTTGCAATAATAATGTTGTTTATAATGGAAGTTACAACTACAACCTTTTGAAGATCAATGCTAATTTTATCTAGATAATGTAATAAACGAAAGTTTTCTATGTCAACAGAAAGGCAGAAATATAAGCTACACTTTAAATACTTGTCATAAATATAACTGAAGTGAAAGCGAAGATATATGCATTTGATACTGTACAGTTTCTTGATGGCTTGCTCTAAGAGTGTGAAGCCCTTCACACCAGCCTATAAATTGTGTAATTTATTTCCATATATGCTAATTAACCTTAAAATCTATATGTCAGAAGGAAGGAAGATGTAGACGTTAATGTGACAACATTTCAAGAAATATCTCTCTCTTTAAAGTTAAATAATACAATCCTATCGCCGGTGTCCGGACACATGAAAGCTACTTAGGTATCAGTGGCCAGCCAGGTGGAGGTCACAGGCTGTACAATACTGATAAATTATGTAATTCACAGAGATACGTTGATAA